CCTAAGTCCAGCCATTTTCACGTCAGAGCAAAGTGTGGCTTACAGAGATCAAACGTCTTCCTAAGGTCTCACAGAGAACCAAAGCAGAGCTCGCTCGGTTTTCTGCAACCATCCAGCCTTTCTCAACTTTCAAAGCCTGGTTCAAGAACGCGTTTTCCTCAGCCCAGCGCAGCGGACAAGACACAGAAACGGCCCGGGGTTCGCACCCCAGCGCTGCCTCTCACGGCCTCCTAGGACACACGTCTGCTCCGTGCGCCTCAGGGGAAGGAAGGGGTGGCGACCCCGCCTGGCCAGTCTGGGTACCTAACAATGGCAGTTAGCTTCTTGTCAGCCCAGTTGGCACTCCCTCTCCTGCTCTCTCCCCGCTCGGGGGGCTGCAGTCAGGGCCGGGGCACTTTGAAGTCTCGCTGCGTGCCAGGCACTGTGCTCGTGGCTCTGGCCGACCGCGACCCCCTCCTCAGCCCAAGACAAATGGTGGTGGTGTGCGTGTGGGGGTCATGCCGTCCCATCCTCCCCCTCACGGGTAGGCGGGCATCCCAGCTCTGGCAGCCCCCCGTTCAGTAGTTCTCCTATCTCGCTGCCCCGCAACGACCCCAGCGCCCCTACCCTAAACGGCGGCCACTGACCCACCCTGACTGGCCCCCGGCTGTTCAGCAGTCCGGGCGAGCCCGCGCAGCAGCTGCCCAGTCCGGCCGGGCTCGCACCAGCAGGAGCTGCAGCCTTCCCGCGGAGCGGGCGGGGGCGGGGCGCGGGGCGGGGCGGGGCGCGGGGCGGGGGCGCGGGGCGGGGCGCGCGGGGCGGGGCGCGCGGGGCGGGGCGCGCGGGGCGGGGCGCGCGGGGCGGGGCGGTTGGTGCTGGGAACCCGCGCGCGCTGGCGGGCCACGTGACCCACTGGTCGGTATTGCGAGCAACTCCGCCCCAGGCTGGCATTCTGGCCGCGTAACAACAGCGCGGCGCGCCGAGATCTGGGCCTAGCAGTTATCATCCCATTTTGCAGATGAGGCTAACTGAGGCCAGCCCAGAGTCACAGGGCGGTGGGAGGCGGGTGGAGGCCTGCCGGGTGTCAAAGCGGTTAGCACCGTGCCGGCCCCTGGTTGGGGCGGGAAAGCGTCGGTCTCCTTTCCTTTGGATTATGTTGGAACGGAAGCCCTAAGAGGGCAGGAACTGTGCCGTTCGGTGTTGTGCCCCGAGCACAGTGAGCACGCAGTAAATCATTTGACTCAATGACTTACTCCGGCCCTGCCTACCTCTCTGACTTCAACTTTGAGTCACCCAGCCTTCTCCTCAAAAACTTGTAAAAGAATCTGAGAAAGTCCAGACAGGAGGGGTATGATATGGAAAAGAGCACCCAGCCTGCACTTGTGCAGAGGAGTTAATCCAATTTAGAGAAGAGGTGAAGAGAGACCAGCTAGAAGGCTTCAGTGAAACCCAGAGCAGGATGATGGTGGTCGTGGTTTAAGGGGTGGCAGTGGAGATAGAAGGGGAAATGTTTGAGATAGGTTTTGGAGAATTAAAGGGATTTGCTGATGGATTGAAAGTAAGGAATGGAGCGAGAGGAAATGAAGAGGCAGTTCTTTTTTTCTTTTTTTTTTGAAGAGGCAGTTCTTGAGTGGCTGATGGTGCTGGATATTGAAATGGGGAAAACTAGGAGAGAAATAGGTTTAGGTTAAGGGAATAAAGTGTTCTGTTTTTCTATTTATGGTGTAAGTTATCTCTACAGATATGAATCTGGAACTCAGCGGACAAACACATGGACGGAAGATGGGAATCCGGGCCATATAAATTGTATTTACAGCATTAAGAATGAAAGATATCACTTATGGTGAGAAGAGAAAAGAAGCAAGCAGGACAGAGCCCTGAAGATCACCTGGATTTAGAGTTCTGGTATAAGAGGGAGGCCCTGCAAAGGAGAGGGGACTGGCCAGAGAGGCAGGAGGAAAACCATGAGGGACCCAGAAAGAACAGTGTTTAGGAAGCATGGAGTCATCAGTTTTGGCAAATGCCACTGAGAGAAGAGCAATGTGGCTGTACATCAGAGAAATTGTACTTGAATTTGACAGAGTGCTTTTGGTGGAGTGTAGGGATAGATGGAGAATTGAGGAGAAGTAGAAGTGGAGGTACGTAGTGTGCACAGACAATTCAAGACATCAAGGGGTGGAAGAGAGAAATGGTCAGGGACAGAGGAGGTGATTTCAAGGGATTTATTTGTCTAGAACGGGTGACACATGAGTACATGTGTGCTGTTATTTGGGAATGATCCAACAGAGAGCAAGAGATTTAATGATCCCAGAGAGAGGAGGGCAGTGACTCACAGAGGAAAGACCTCAGAAAGAGGGGAGTATATAAGATTGTATATAACGGCATAGCTCAGACCAGCCAAAAAGCATACCTTTGTGACAGCTCAGACCAAAGACCCAGGAGCTCCACTGCAGAAGAAACAGCCACACTATTTCAGGGTAGCCACTGTTGCTTAGCAACCTGTGTTTAATAAGATGTTTCAACTGAATTCCTCATTAACTGCCATTTCAACTTAGGCTAACAGTTCACATCACTGGGACCTGCTTCAGCTTCCTTCCCTCCCCCAAAGCCGGGTACTTTTGTGGAAATGCCATGAAACTGGAAAGCTTGGGTTTCTGCTTTCTTCTACTGTTGATGATATATCCACTGAGATGTGAAAAATAATACATCACAGAGAAGATGGATTTAGCCATCTTAAAGGGAAGTTGTTGAAAACTGCAGTGTTGAGGAACTTCCCTGTTGGCTCAGTGATTAAGAATCCTCCTTCCAACGTGAGGGATGCAGGTTCAATCCCTGGTTGGGGAACTAAGATCCCACATGCCACAGAGCAATTAAGCCAGCATGCCCCAACTACCAAACCTGTGCACTCTGGAGCCCATGTACCACAATTAGTCCATATGCCACAACGAAAGATCCCACATGCTGCAACTAAAACCCAATGCAGCCAAATTTTTTTTTTTAATTGCAGGGTTTATATTTCTAACTCAGGACTCTCTGGTGAACACCACTACCTTCTTGCCCTCTTGGAGGCATATCAGGCTAAGCAGAATTTCTAATTCCCTCTATTCAACCACCCAAACTCACTTATTCCTTGTACAGTTTTACCCACTACAGAACATGGTCAACCCATTTGACACATTTACCCAAAGTCATTGGATTCCTCCCTCTTCCAAACCTACTCCATATAGTTAGTTACTGCCTCCAACATACTTCTCAAATTCTTCTACTTTTCTGCACACCCTCTAAGTCTGCCTGGTCCAGGTCACCACCATCCCTCCCCTGGATTAGTACAGGAGCCTTCTAACTGGTCCCCCTGCTGCTCTCTTGATCTACCTCCAACACACTCTCCATGCAGCATCCAGAGAATGAGCTCTTAAAAAAAAAATTAAACAATCTACTCATTGCCTTAAAAATCTTTAAAGGTTTCTGGTTACATTTTTCTGCCAACTGGAGCCTGTTACCACCTCCTCTAAATTCTGTGTCTGGGAACTTCCCTGGTTGTCTGTGGCTAAGACTCCACAATCTCAATGCAGGGGGCCCAGATTTGATCCCTGGTTAGGGAACTAGATCCCACATGCCACAGTTAAGAACTCGAATGCCTCAACTAAAGCTCCTTCAGGCCACAACTAAAGATCCCCCATACTGCAACTAAGACCTGGTGCAGTCAAATAAAAAACACAGAATTTTTTAAAATATAGGATACCTTTTGGTGGCAGAAGAACCAACAGTACTCATGGACAGCGTGGGTAGGTGGTTAGAGGTAGAAAGTTTTGAAGAAAACAAATTAAGAAAGACTTTCACATGTATCTAGTGAACCTCAAATTTAGAAATATATTTAACATATGTCAAGGCCTACTTATTACATTTAGATTCTCAAGAGTATAGTATAGCATAGGCAAAGAATTTGGATTGAATCTTGAAATTCCAATCAAATGTGATCCTAAAAACTGTCTAAACTCAAAGGGCCACTGTTTCCTCATTTGTAAAACAGTAACTGATTGTCCCTGATTTAAGATGTTTGTAAAGCTCCATGATAGAATTTCCCTGATGGCTCAGTGTTAAAGAATCCGCTTGCCAATGCAGGAAACAGGGCTCTGATCCCCGGTCCGGGAAAATCGCACATGCTGTGGAGCAATTAAGCCCATGTGCCACAACTAATGAACTTGTGTCTTAGAGCCCGGTGCTCTGCACAAGAGAAGGCGTGGCAATAAGAAGCCCACGAATTGCAAGGAAGACTAGCCACCACCCCACCCCACCCCCATCTCTGCAACTAAAGTCCACACAGCAAGGAAGACCCAGCACAGACAAATGATTTTTTTAAAAAAAAAAGCTCTACTACAGCACCTAGAACTGTGAGTAAGGACCGTGTGGGAAATCCCAAAAGAATGAAGCAGAGAGCCTCATATCTGAGGTTTATTTCAGGGGATGGTGATGCAAGGTAGAGTGTTCCAGAATTTTGAGCATGTGGGACATTTATACCATTGGACTTAAGAGCATTCCAGTTTCTGCCTAAACAGGGAACTGTCTCTCTGCTAGGCATCCCCACACTAGGGCACATTTAATTTCTCATCAGGGAGAGGGCGAGGTTTTCCCTGGAGGGTGCCTGAACAGTACCTTCTTAGGTAGTCAATAATTGTTTAATGAAGAACGGAGTCGGTGTGATAGCAAGAGGTTATCGTGGAGAAACAAGAACTATCCTCCCGGGCCGGGCAGGTCTAGGGCCGGGTAATTTTCACGTCGCCATAGCAACGACCCCCTCCACGCGCAGCCCAGAGGAAACTACAAGTCCCATAAGTAGCCGCGGGTTCCCCGCCTCCAGGAGAGGCGGGGCTCAGGAGAGAGCGGAACCGGCTTTACCTCTTTCCTGCAGCGTGATTGGCCCTCGGCCCTTGGAGGCGGCCTATGAGTGCGCTCCGGGAGAGCGGCGAAGCTAATATGGCTTCCTACACCTGGTGACGGTTGAAGAAACTGTGTTAGGTCTCATGGAGAAGCCCCGGGGCGTCGAGGTGAGAGGGAGAGGACTTCTCGTGACTGGGAAAGGGAACCCCGAGAGCCTCGCTCGGTGGGCCTTCGTTAGGCCTTTGAGCGACGCCTGGAGGGTGGAGGATGGACGGATGGATAAACAGGTAGTTACGCTGAGCGAGGCCAGAGGCGATTGGTGTCGCCTTTTGCTCCCGTTCTCCTGGGTCCGAGTGAGGTTGAGAGAGGAACAGCTTCACTGGCCTGGGGGAAGAGGAACTGGATTCAGGATGTGAGAGCTCCTGAATCTTCCTTCTCCCCCTTGTCTCATGTGGCGTCTTTAGGGACTATGAGGCCAGTCACAGCCTGGTGGGAAGTAAAGGAAGATTAAAGTTTAATAAATATTCCGTATCTGGAGCGTATCCGTGCGTTGTCTCCCACAATAACAAGCCTTGTGTTATTGTCTCTTTTTATTACGGATCATGCAGCTGAGGCTTGGAGAGGTTGGTGCTACTCCCCAGGAGGGTCACATAGCTGTAAAGTGAAGGAGATGAGCACTAAGTCTGTCAGGTTCCAAAACTCTCCCTGTTTGACTTTTTCCACTCTTCCACCACCTGTAACCCATACATCCTTTCATCATTTGGCTTCTGGTCACCTTATATTTGAATTTCCTTTCTGGCACATTTGCATGTGTAGTGTAAATATAAAGTGGAATCGCTCAAAAGCGCTACAAGAGTAAAGAAGAATCATCGTCAGTGTAGAGTGTGAATAACGCCCAGTTTTAGAGCTGTCACTGACTGCTGGGAACAGAACTAGGCTTTCCATAGCGCCTGGGTGGTCATAGCAGCCCTCTAAAGAAGGCTTGTTACAGCCATTGTACTGATGGAGAACCCCAGAGCCCTAAGTAGGAGAGCCTGGATTCCAACTCCGGCATATCTGATTTGAGAGCCTGTGCTTTTAACCAGTAATGAGCACCAGCATTTATTGAGCACTTGCTGTGTGCAAGTCACTATTCTGAGTGCCTTTCCCATATTAACCCTTACTTCTCCCCCAAAGCCTATGAAATAGGTGGGATTGTCCTCATTTACAGATGGGGAAACTGAGGCACTGAGCTTGAACTGCTGCAGGTCATATAGTAGGGATGGTTTTGGAGTCTTAGCCTAGAGCCCAAACGCTTCACACCTTTTCTGCTACATGCCAGTTAAATTCATATACAATACCTCATTTTACATTGCACATCTTTTGAGCCAAATATTTTTCTTGTTTTATAGATGAGAAAATTGAGACCCAGACAGGTTAAAACAACTTGCCCAAGGACCCACGGCTAGTTAGGATCAAGGCTGAGTCCAAAGCTGTGGTATGTCCCACAGTGCTAGTATGTCATTTGCCTCAAATCCTCTTTAGGGCAGTCTGGGCCCCAAATTAACTTTCGTTTGACTTAAATTGTTTTTGAGTTGAAATTACTTTGGTGTACATCTGCTGAAGGGGGAAGAATGAGTTTCTAAAATACATCTTTTCCAAAATGTCTTCATGAGGCCCCATGCTTAGTATATTTTCACATCACTGTATTCTGTGTGAATTGTGGTAAAATGTCATCATGTGTGAATTCGCAGAGGACCCTGGTGACTTCCTAATACATGTTTCTGTCTTGCTAAGGTATTCTTTTGACTTGCAGTTGAGAAATGTATAAACAAGAGTAATGATCCTGGTGTTTACGAAAGGGGTGTTTGTACCTGCCACTCGGCCCAGAAGCGTTGACTTGACCAAGAACTGGAAAGGGAGTTGATAGCAGACCTGCAGTTTCCCTTGTCTTACAGTAAGCCAAGCATGATTGCTTCTGCCTGCTTTGTGTCATCCTTTTCCTAGGAGACTCCATCTTCAGAACCGATGGAGGAGGAAGAGGAAGACGATGACCTGGAGCTCTTCGGCGGCTATGACAGTTTCCGGAGTTATAACAGCAGCGCGGGCAGTGAGAGCAGCTCCTATCTTGAGGAGTCAAGTGAAGCAGAACATGAGGATCGGGAAGCGGGGGAGCTGCCCACCTCCCCGCTGCATCTGCTCAGCCCTGGGACACCGCGATCCTTAGACGGCAGTGGTTCTGAGCCAGGTGCCTTCAAAGTGTCCCCCGAAGATAGGGAGGTTTCAGAGGCTATGGATGGAGAGGTAGATGTAGGCCAGGTGCGTGGAGCTGTGCAGGTGTAAAGGGCTCTTTGATCTGATGTCTAAGGACCCGTGAGAGAGACAGAGGCACTCCAAGTATCCCCAAGGGTCATTTCAGTCTGATTTCAAGTTGTGATTTCATTCTTTTCACACAATTAATATTCATTCAGCACATATTAGATGCCGGTCATTAACATGGTGGTGCCTTTGCGTTTGTGTAAATAATAATATTTGGTGGATTTCTAAGCCTGGGTCTTGAGAATATATGACACCTAATGTGATCTGGTTACTCTCTGGGAAGGGACAAGAAATAGCTTGTGAGTTGGAAGTGAGAGGCAAGGAAATACAGAATTAAGTGACCTCCAGGTAAGAGGATGAGGGCAGATAAGAATCCCTGTGAATCATCTGGAAGCCAGTTGGCTTCAGAGGTATGATGCTTGCATAGCTGCTGGACCTCTGTGTCAGGGCCTCCAGGGTGGGGACTGCCTGTGCAAAGAGGCAGGTTAGATGGTCTGTGATGACACTCCTGTTTCCTGGTCCCTTTACTCTTTAGAGGAGGAGCATCTAATACTCTTTGCCTGTCCATTCATTTGTCTTCTCTTCCTCTCTCCCCTTTTATTTTTATTTATTAAATTGTTTATGTTACTGTTGGTTGCGCTGGGTCTTCATTGCTGCACGTGGGCTTTCGCTAGTTGTAGCAAATGGGGGTACTTCGTTGTGGTATACGGGCTTCTTGTATGGCTTCTCTTATTGTAGACCACAGGCTGTAGGTGCACGGGCTTCAGTAGTTGCAGCACATGGGCTCAGTAGCTGTGGGGCACGGGCTTAGCTGCATTGTGGCACATGTAATCTTCCCAGGCCAAGGATCAAATCCGCCTTTCCTGCACTGGCAGGCAGATTCTTAGCCACTGTACCACCAGGGAAGTCCTATCTCCCCTTTCTTTTATTTTTCTCCCTTCTGTCTTCTTCCAGTCATTCTCTTAGAATCTTAGCACTAGAATGAACTATTAGAGACCATCTAGTCTGGGGGTGCACACACCTGGCCACACATTAGAATCATCTGGGGAACTTCTCATAACCACTGATGTCTGTGTCCCACCACAGATCAGGTCATTCTAATCAGGGCATTTTTAAATGCTTTCCAGGTGATTCTAATGTGATATCAGGGATGAATCATTGATCTAGTTGAGCCTCTTTAGAGATGAGAAGAAAACAGGCCCACAGAAGTTAAATGATATGGGTACATTTTTGTCTTCTCATTTTCCTCTTTGCAAACTTTCCCCGGTTGTCTGCAGGGATTCTCCTTAGCCCCACTGTTGGCACACACAGCCAAGGGAAGCCACCCAGCTTCACGATACACACCCAAACCACTTCCTCCTATTCCAGTTCTCAGCCTTAGGGGGTTAATGCAGTGCCCCAGGTTTGAAGGGCCCATCATTTTGTTTGAATTGGGGTGATGATCGAGGGAGTCACGTGCTAAATTCTCTTCCCAGCTGTCTGTGAGATGTGTGGGATCGTGGGTACCAGGGAAGCCTTCTTCTCCAAGACCAAGAGATTCTGCAGCGTCTCCTGTTCCAGAAGCTACTCCTCCAACTCCAAGAAAGCCAGTATATTGGCGAGATTACAGGTGAGAGGCAGTCACTTGGAAGACCCTTCCCGGGGCCCTGGGTACTGAGTGAGGAACTGCCAACTGTGCTGGCGAGGGGCCCAGAGGGCTTGGGCAGGACATTGCTTGTGGCCTTCTGAGGTTGTAAATGGCCTGGTATTTCTTTTTTTTTTTTTTGCAAGTTAAACCATTTATTTCCCCATTGGTGAGGCCTTTCGAGGGGTCTTCCGATGAAGCTTGTAAAGTGAAAGTGAAGTCCCTCAGTCATGTCCGACTCTTTGTGACCCCATGGACTGTAGCCTACCAAGTTCCTCCATCCATGGGATTTTCCAGGCAAGAATACTGGAGTGGGTTGCCATTTCCTTCTCCAGGCCTGGTATTTCTTATGCACCCATTTCTGGAGCTCAGTAAGTTGCAGATTCATGGAGCTACGCTTCACCCCCAACCCTCACCCCTCAGGGTCTGATGTGTCCTCAGAAAGTTCTCTTTTTGGCCGTGCTGCGTGGAATGTGGGAATTTCAGCTCCAGAGATGGAACCCATGCCCCCCTGCAGTGGAAGTGCAGAGTCCTAACCACTGGGCCACCAGGGAACCGCTGCCCTCAATAAGTTGTATATAAGAACCCTGGGGGGAGTCTGGCACCCATGTCTTCCTGCTGCACTTTTACAAATGCTCTGAAAGGAAGCTGGGAAATGGGCCACAAGCTTCTCCGGCCATGGTGGGTTTGAGAAGATGGTGTCTCGTCTTTGACTCCATTCCACAGGCAGCTGCCTAGAAAGTCTTACCAACCTCAAGTTAACTATTGACATTTGTAGAACTCTGAGAAGGGGGAGGATTCTTGGAGATGTGTTGTCTAACCCACATACTGATTGACAAGTGTGCTGAGGTCCAGAGAGGAAGAATGATTTACCTATGGGCTCTGTAGGAAGAGGACTGAGCTGAAACTGGAGCCTCTTCTCGGGAGCCTGGCCTTGTGTCTTCACTACGCTGGTTTGCAAACTTGACTACACGTAGGGGTCACCTGGAAAGTTTCAAAAATCTCATGAAGATTATGGTTTAATTGGGAGAGAGCACAGCCTAGACATAGGCGGCTTTAACGAGCACCCGAGGTGATTGTCCTGTGAAGCCTGATGCTTATTGTGTGTCTCAGCCCAGCTCTTCTAGTTAAAGCCTCGTGCAGTGCATGTTATCTCTCACTCATGAGATAGTTACTGTTGTCTCCCTTGCTTTGCAGATTTTAGTCAAGGCATAAGAAAGTCCTTCCCAGTGAGCTAATAATAACATTGTTATTAACTACAGTCTGGGGATACTTGAGAAGGGCTTGGCACCCTCAGTCTAACCAGTGATTCCTAAAAAAATGAATTTTTAAAGATTCCTGTTTCAAAGGCTCAAAAATTTTTACTCACTTACTCCAAGGTACACAAATAAAATTCAGGAGCCAGGATTTGGCGCCATGTCTATGTGGAACTTCAGTTCAATTCAGTCACTCAGTCGTGTCCAACTCTCTTCGACCCCAGGGACTGCAGCACTTCAGGCCTCCCTGTCCATCACCAACTCCCGGAGTTTACTCAAACTCATGTCCATTGAGTCGGTGATGCCATCCAACCATCTCATCCTCTGTCGTCCCCTTCTCTTCCTGCCTTCAATCTTTCCCAGCATCAGGGTCTTTTCAAATGAGTCAGCTCTTTGCATCAGGTGGCAAAAGTTTTGGAGTTTCAGCTTCAGCACTAGTCCTTCCAATGAATATTCAGGATTGATCTCCTTTAGGATGGACTGGTTGGATCTCGTTGCAGTCCAAGGGACTCTGAAGAGTCTTCTCCAACACCACAGTTCAAAAACATCCATTCTTCTGCGCTCAGCTTTCTTTATAGTCCAACTCTCATATTCATACATGACCTCTGGAAAAACCATAGCCTTGACTAGATGGACCTTTGTTGGCAAAGTAATGTCTCTGCTTTTTAATACGTTGTTTAGGTTCGTCATAACTTTTCTTCCAAGGAGTAAGTGTCTTTTTATTTCATGGCTGCAGTCACCATCTGCAGGGATTTTGGAACTTAAACCGACATTTTTTTTTTATTTTAAATTTTGTCTGTGCCACTTGTCTTGCAGGATCTCAGTTCCCCTACCAGGGATTGAACCCGGGTCCGTGGCAGTGGAAGCGCCAGATCCTAACCACTAGACCATCAGGGAACTCCCTAAACCCACATTTCTATTTCTTTAATCGCTCTCTTTTTTTTTTTTTAAACTTTTTACTTTGTATTACAGTAGCTTCCTTTGTGGCTCAGTGGTAAAGAATCTGCCTGCCAATGCAAGAGAGGTGGGTTTGATCCCTGTGTCGGGAAGATCCCCTGGAGAAGGAAATGACAACCCACTCCTGTATTCTTTTTTTTTTTTAAAAATATGGAACGCTTCACGAATTTGCGTGTCATCCTTGCGCAGGGGCCATGCTAATCTTCTCTGTATCGTTCCAATTTTAGTATATGTGCTGCCGAAGCGAGCACTCACTCCTGTATTCTTGCCTGAGAAATCCCATGGACAGAGGAGCCTGATGGGCTACAGTCCATGGGGTTGCAAATGAGTCGGACACAACTGACTGAACAACATAGCCGATTAACAATGCTAATGATAGTTTCAGGTGGACAGCAGAGGGATTCAGCCATACATATGCATATATCTATTCTCCCCCAATCATTGATCTCTTTAATAAATTTTCTGGGCCTCTCTGATCAGTGCTTAAGCTACAAATTACAGACCAGGTCTTCCCCATAACTCAGATGGTAAAGAATCTACCTCTGATGCAGGAGACCCAGGTTTGATCCCTGGGTCTGGAAAATCCGCTGGAGAAGGAAATAGCAATCCACTCCAGTATACTTGCCTGGAGAAAAATCCCATGAACAGAGGAGCCTGGCAGGCTACAGTCCATGGGTCACAAAGAGTTGGACATGACTAAGCAACTAATACACACATAGGTCAGTAGGACCCCTTTGAGTACCTCATAAACTGTTCAGTTCATGAGCCTTCTGAAACCCCCTCTCTGCCATAAACCCATAGGAGCACCAGAGGAAGGAGAAGGCTGAGAGCTGAGGCCAACAGCAAGAGGTTCCTCGCAGTAGCAGGGCTTAAAAGATGGAAAATTTATGCCTCCCTGCCCTCTGGCTCTGCCAACCCCCCCACCCCTGCAGGTGAACAATAGCTAAGTGCTTATTGAGTTCAGCACAATATGTGACCCTCACCCTTGCAACTCCCCCCTGAGCTAAGCATTATAATTGTTATCATCTTGATTTACAAGTTAAGAAACTGGAGTCCCAAAGAGGTTACCTGGGCAGTCCAAATCCGGAGCCTTGTTATCAGCCTTTAGGCTACAGATGCACTCTCCTCCCTCCAGGGAAAACCACCTACCAAGAAGGCCAAAGTCCTGCACAAAGCTGCCTGGTCTGCCAAAATTGGAGCCTTCCTCCACTCCCAGGGGACAGGACAGCTTGCCGACGGGACCCCAACTGGGCAGGACGGTAAGTCAGTGGAGTGTGGTGCCAGGACTTGGTGGGTGGGTGGGGGGGCCGCTCCCTAGGAGCCAGGATTGGAGAAGGGGGCCAGCTAGAAAGGACCAGCCCAGGCTCGCTTTAGATGGCATCTTCCTCACCCGGGAGTAACTGTGAGATGGCCCAGAAGATCCCTCAATCACTCTCCCCTTGAGCACTTAAAAGCCAAGAGTTAGCTTCCTTTGTTTAGCATTGCCTGTAGCCCTCTGGCTTTTGTTTCCCTGGGGCAGTGGAGACCTAGATCTCCACTGTGAAGAATGGTGGTGGGATTAGCAACTTCTCTCTCTTTCTGTGTGTAAGTAGCTGTTTCTAAATAAATGTAGGCTGGAAGCTATGCACTAGGTGGTCTGACACAGCTCCCAGATCAGGGCTGGAGGGGCTGTGGTGTGTGCACCTCCCACCCATCTAGATTGGCTATGGCCAATGAGAGGTTGGGGACAGTCTGAGGAATTTAAGCCCGAGGGTCTTTGAATTTCCGTCTTTCTCTTGGGGGAGGAAGATCAGACATTTCCCTCTGAGTGTTCTTCTACTGCTGAGAGTCTGGCGGCCTCTGGATGAGGTCCTCCCCGTCCCATCCCCATGGCCACTGCTGGGGCAGGTATGGGGCGAGCCCAGGCTGTGTGGAGGGGAAGGGGCCTGTGCTCCCACTCCCCAGGCACGGGCTCCTGGAGTGGCCGCTGCTGGGGCAGGTGTGGCGCAGGCCCGGGCCGCGCCTGGTCCCCGGGCGGCCCGGGCTCCTGGAGAGCCTGCCGTGGGGGCTCCCGCTTCGGCCCCTCAGCTCTGGCCCTCTTGGCTCTGCAGCGCTGGTCCTGGGTTTCGACTGGGGGAAGTTCCTGAAGGACCACAGCTACAAGGCTGCGCCTGTCAGCTGCTTTAAGCACGTGAGTGCCCCGGGCACGAGGGGGGCGGGCAGGGGCCCAGGCGCGGCCGCCGGCTCACCCGCCTGCCCCACTGCTTCGGCAGCAGGAGCGAACAGGATGAAGTCTGGGTGCCCGGCTTTGTGGCTCGCTCCAATTCACCTTTCTGTCCACTTGTTCTTCACCAAGTCCTCACAGACCCTCACCGAGAGCTTCGAGCACGCCCCATGGAGGTCCCCCCCAGGCTTATTCACATAATAGCACTTTGTGCTTTGGTATCCAGAGCCAACTGTAAGAATCCCCTTCTCTTTCCCCCATTTTTAGTGCTTTCCTGTTGACAGCTTGGTGCTTGTGAACTGCCCTGGACCCATTGGCTCCCGGGAGGCAGATAGGGGTGCCTCCTGGAACCCCTTCTGCTAAAGGCTCCCTGACTCCCTGTCACTGCATACTCAGTTGTATCTGACTCCTTGAGACCCCGTGGACCGTAGCCTGCCAGGCTCCTCCATCTATGGAGTTTTCCTGGCAAGAACACTAGAGTGGGTTGTCATCTCCTCCTTCAGAGGATCTTCCCAACCCAGGGATCGAACCCTGCATTGGCAGGCAGATTCTTGGTCTTTCAAGCCAATTTCCTCTAGCCCAGGAAATCGGGAGAAGGCCTATTTATTTTATTTTGGCTGCACTGGGTCTTTGTTGTGGAGCACAGGGGCCTCTCATTACGGCACAAGGGCTTAGTTGCCCCTTGGCTTGTGGGTGCTTAGTCCCCAACCAGGGATTGACCTCACATCCCCTGCACTGGCAGGCAGATTCTTGTCCACTGTACCACGAGAGAAATCCAGCCACCCGGTGTGATGATTGAAGGAGTGCTGTTTGTGTCTTAGAAGTGCCTGTCGCATAGTGAGAGTGGGAAACTGCTAGGTGTCTGCTGGCACAGGTGTGATGTGCCTGGGAGGGTGACAACTAGGAGCCAGTCCTGTAGAGATTAGCAGCGCTGTGTGACACCCCTACTCCCATCCCCTGACTCGGCTCTTCACAGGGGTGGGCACCTCAGTTCATTGCTTCCTCCCTAGACCTGGGCCTGGCCTTCCATGCACAGTGAGTGAGGGGAAACACCAAGGGGCAAAGGAGAAAGATACAGCATCCTGTGAGGCCCTGCAACCAGCCTCTCTCCTGCCCACCCGGGTGGCTCACTGTCCCCTTGAACCCTCTCACCACTATGCAGGTCCCACTCTATGACCAGTGGGAGGATGTGATGAAGGGAATGAAGGTGGAGGTACTCAACAGCGATGCCGTGCTCCCCAGCCGGGTGTACTGGATTGCCTCGGTCATCCAGGCGGCAGGTGGGTGCTCCTCTGAGCAAGGCAGGGTCAGGGGCTGAGGGCGACATCTCCAGATGGATAGGTAGTGTCGGAGCAGACATCAGCTTCATAAAACAAAAAACCTGCCCACTGGAGTTTCGTTCTCCCTTCTTGCTATGCTTTCATGTTACCTACTTCTTAGAGGGGACCACAGAGCTTGGCGAGTTTGGAAACTCCCATTCTGAAGTTCATTCCAGGGTAGATCAGACCGTAGAAGATTACTCCCCCTACTGTGCCAGACTGCCTTCCAGGTACATGGCAGGGGTTTGTTTTCACTCTGGCTATTGCAGAAGGGGTTCTTGGAGTAGGCAGCCTGGTTTAGGCTGGAGAAGCAAGAAGCCCTAAGAGTTACCTCTCCTTCCTCCTGCTCAGGGTACCGGGTGCTGCTCCGGTATGAAGGCTTTGAAAATGATGCCAGCCATGACTTCTGGTGCAACCTGGGGACAGTGGATGTCCACCCCATCGGCTGGTGTGCCATCAACAGCAAGATCCTGGTGCCCCCGAGGAGTGAGTTGATGAGCGTGCTGCCCATCCTGGTTCCTGTGGGCCCCTGGGAGAAGTCAGGCCAGCCCAGAGCCCACCTGCCTCCTCCCTTCCTCTCCCTTGTCCAGAGGCCCCAGGGCAGGTCCAGGTTGGGGAATCCAGGACTGCCGGGCTGAGAAGGCAGAAATACGTTATTCAGGCCCCTCTGCTACTCTCTGGGGCAGACTGGCACCTGTCAGCAGAGTGGTGGCAGTCTGTACTCAGGATTCTGCTCTGCCTCCCCAGCCATCCATGCCAAGTTCACCGACTGGAAGGGCTACCTCATGAAACGCCTGGTGGGCTCCAGGACGCTGCCCGTCGACTTCCATATCAAGGTCTGGCAGAGCACCCTGGGGTCTCCTAACTGGTCTGCTCCTGCCCCTTTCCCCTTCTGTCTGTCCTTTGTGCTGCTCACTGGAGTATTTTTTCTAAGACCCCCTTGATTTAGCCATCAGAGCAGCTCCAGATTCCCTAAGTATGGGTGGTGGGTGTCATCTACCATTAGGTTCCTCCCTGCTTTGAGCCAGCCTCATTGGTCATGTTGCTTTGTCTGCTGGGTGCTCTTCCAGATCCTTCCTTTGCTCATAGTGTTTTCAAGAGTGTTCATTCAACTGGGCTTCCCAGGTGGCGCTAGTAGTAAAGAACCTGCATGCAATGTAAGAGACCTTTATTCATTCAATAGATTTGACTTAAGTGCTCGTAGTATACAAGGCACTGCCATCTGGCACTCGCCCCCTCCTGGTGGGATTTGGATTTGCACTGCTCAGTCCCCGCCACTGCTAAGAAACTGGAATGGTTCTCCCTGAGTCCGCAGTGCCCCGGTGCTGGAAAAGCCCCACAGAACTTCCTACCCGTCCTCTATCCCAGGCAGGACAGCACCAGAATCTCAGCAGACAGAACTGTCTTTTCACCCAGGCCCCACCACCGGGGCTCTAGAGCAGCTGTGGGATCTTGGTCACTATCCTTGGCTGTGTCCAAGGGGCAGGCATTACTGCTGAGGTGCTAGGAGAGCCGTTCAGAGCTGCAGCCTGGCAGGGCCAGGGCTGAAATTAGAGGTATCGAGGCAAAGGGTGCTCAGTTCTCTAAACACCAGGCTGGTTTAGTGGGTGCTGTCGGCAGGGGCTGGAAGGTAGGGAGCACCGGGAGGGACTCGTGATCAGAGTGCAGATCCCTGAAAGAGCACAGAGCTGGACCCCAAGCCCAGATTTGTCACTCAGCTCTGGCACTGATGACCCCGTGTGACTCCAGGTGAGTCACACGACCTCCCTGGGGCACTGTTTGCTTAATCTGAAAAGCAGTCTGTGATTCCCATCACAATGACTTGCTGGCATTTTGGTGCACGCATTGTAAATATTCTATCATGCCAGGGCCTTAGGAGCCAGGGTGGAACCTGGTGGGCAGGAGGGGCTCCTCTGCCGGTTTCCTCGCCCCCCACCCCGTCCCGTCCTCTGGTTACTCCCAAGAGACAGGACAGGACAGGACAGTGAGAGGGAGGGATCAACCCAGCAGGCCTGTGTTCTGATGTCATTGCAGATGGTGGAGAGCATGAAGTACCCCTTTCGGCAGGGCATGCGGCTGGAGGTGGTGGACAAGTCCCAGGTGTCCCGGACCCGCATGGCCGTGGTGGACACAGTCATCGGGGGTCGCCTGCGGCTCCTCTACGAGGATGGCGACAGTGATGATGACTTCTGGTGCCACATGTGGAGTCCCCTGATCCACCCTGTGGGCTGGTCCAGGCGAGTCGGCCACGGCATCAAGCTGTCAGGTTAGCCGTCCCTGGCCAGCATGGGCCTGGGTCAGGGTAGGGGCACATCTCTGCATCCCACAACTAATCTGAGTAATGGGGACAGTCATATTTGCCCTGAACATGGCAGGACTTGACCAGGTGTCCCGAGGGGTTGCGTGACTTGACCAAGGACACTCAGCCTGAAGTGTGTTGTGTGTTTTAGTTGCTCAGTCGTGTCCAACTCTTGGCGATCCCATGGACTGTAGCCCGCCAGGCTCCTCTGTCCATGGAATTCTCCAGGCAAGAATACTGGAGTGAGTTGCCATTTCCTTCTCCAGCCTGAAATGGTAAAAGTTAATTCGCAACTACAGGCTCCAGGCCACATCCTCTCCTGGCAACATAGGAGGAGTCTGGGTCCTCAGGGCTGAATAGTTCCAACAGAGAGCTCCTGGTGGAGGGGTGAGGGGCTGCTGAGCAGCCCCACATTCTGGGGGAGGTGTGGAAATGGTCGTGTTAGCAGCTTCAACTTCCTTCTCCCCCTTCCTCCCTCCACTATCTCCCTAAAAGAGAGGCGCAGCGACATGGCCCACCACCCCGCCTTCCGGAAGATCTACTGTGACGCTGTTCCTTACTTGTTCAAGAAGGTGAGGCCCAGCCCTGGGCACTTCCCCTTGGCCACAGGTCCACTCCAGACCTGAGGCCCTGGATCTCCCCTCCCCTCCCCGTTTCCTTGTCAGGCCAACAGCAGCTGAGGCCTCTTTCCCACCCGTCCCCGGGCCAGTCCAGAGATTGCCCAACTGCCCCATTCCTTTAAGGTTCGAGCTGTCTACACAGAAGGTGGCTGGTTTGAGGAGGGGATGAAACTGGAGGCCATTGACCCCCTGAATCTGGGCAACATCTGCGTGGCGACCATCTGCAAGGTGAGCCTGGGCTCCTTCCGGCCTCCAGCAGCGCTTCCTGTGGGCAGGGCGCTGGCAGAGCGCCCCCTACTGGCTGCTCCTGAGCGGCCTGGTTTTTGCACACATAGACTTAGCTCCTGGCTCGGAATCTGCTTTCTCATCAGGGGTCAGAGGCTTGCCAGCCCTGTCGGCTGGTCCAGGCCTGTTGGCCACGGCATCAAGCTATCAGGTTAGCAGAGTCCCTGGCCAGCCACCTGTGGGTGCTACTGAACACCTGGCCTGAGCCTGGTCCTTGGTCAGCTGTAGGCCTTCCCGCCACCACCTGCTGTCTCCTTTGGGGGCTAGTCTTGCCACGCCACAACCGGGCTGGCGTTGCTGCAGACCTCGGTTACTGCTGCAGCCTGAGGAGCCAGCAACCACCCCTCAGCCCTCCTGGGGACACGATGATTCGTCCATCTATCAAATCTCCAGGCTGGGCCCCCGAGTTCACCCTTGAGAACACAGTGACAAAAGGACAGAGACAGTTCCTGCTGGCACAGCATGTGGTGTCCATTGAGGGGGTCAGGAAGATCCCCTAGGAGAGGAAATAGCAACCCACTCCAGTATTCTTGCCTGGAGGGGCTTGGGCTGCAGTCCATGGGGTTGCAGAGTCTGACATGACTGACCACACATGTGGAAGCTAGATGATTTTACCATTACAAGGGTTACATGAGTGCTGAGTGCTCTGAAAAGCAGCTCCATCCTCCTCATATCCCTATCCTGTCACCTCACCCTGGGGTGGGGGTGCAGTTTAGAATACCAGGTTCTGTCTGTTTCCCTCTCTGCCACCACTAGGTACTCCTAGACGGTTACCTGATGATCTGTGTGGATGGGGGGCCCTCCACAGATGGCTCTGACTGGTTCTGTTACCATGCTTCCTCCCACGCCATCTTCCCAGCCAACTTCTGCCAGAAGAATGACATTGAGCTCACACCCCCGAAAGGTAAGACTGGCATACAGTCGGAGGGAGCAGGGTTGAGGCCACAGGCCAAGCCAGACTCTGGGAGCTTGAAGTCTGAGTGGACTGGAGAGGTGACGCACTCCCCAAGGCCACCACTAGCTCTTGGTCTGGGCTGGCTGGGCCCCATGGCCCCATGTGGCTTGGTGAGCAGAGCTCCCACCTGTCCCTCTGGGCAGTGAACACCCTGTACTGCAGGACCGTGGGCCTAGAGCAGGTGCCAGCCTGGGGAGGAGGGAAGAATGTTGCTGGGGAGACTGTGAGCTGAGTCCTGATGGAGCTGCAGGAGCCCCTTTGGCTCTGTAGGGGGCTTTCCAGGACTCCCCCTCAGCTCCCTCTCTCCTCATCTCCGCGTTCCACTCCAGGGTACGAGGCTCACACTTTCAGCTGGGAGGTCTACTTGGAGAAGACCAAGGCGAAGGCAGCTCCATCGAGACTCTTCAACATGGTGAGGAGACCAACCCTGCCCACCATCACCCGAGGTGGCGATTCCAGCCCCTTCTCTTCTCGAGTCCCTGCTGCTAAGATCAGTTGTTTCAGGGAGAAGTACCAAGCTCTGATGCGGATGCGTGCTGAACAGTCAGCCAGTCCCTCTCCCAGAGGGGCTGGCGCCTGGGATCACAGTGCAGAGGGGTTCCTGGTCTGAGGACCACCCCCCCCAAACCCCTGCAGGCAGGCTCGGACCGCTCCCACACCCAGGGCTGCCCCGCCAGGGTGGGGACTTAGCTGATTTGCTCGGCCTTGATGCCCATTCCAGGACTGCCCCAACCACGGCTTCAAGGTGGGCATGAAGCTGGAGGCCGTGGACCTGATGGAGCCCCGGCTCATCTGCGTGGCCACTGTGAAGCGGGTGGTGCACCGACTCCTTAGCATCCACTTCGATGGCTGGGATAGCGAGTACGACCAGTGGGTGGACTGCGAGTCCCCGGACATCTACCCCGTCGGCTGGTGTGAGCTCACCGGCTACCAGCTCCAGCCACCTGTGGCTACAGGTCTGGGCTCTCCTGGTCCTGAAGGGCTCTTGACTTTCTTTTTCTTTCCTGCCACTCTCCGCCCCACCTCCCCCACCACACACCCACCTTTGGCCCTCTGGCATGAGATCGAGCATCTCCTGGACCACTTCCTGGGAGAGAGTGGCCCTGGTCTCCCCCTTCTGCTCCTGACTTCTCTGTCTCCCTCTCCCTCTGGCCTGCAGAGCTCCTTCTTTGACCTTGCCCACTCTGTCATATGCTCGTGCCCTTGTGCACCAGGTAAATCCCCCAGGCCCCTCTGAGCACCCTGGTGATGCGGGTGGGCAGAAGGGACAGCTGTCATCCAGTCCCTCCCCACAGCCCCTCCCATTCTCACGGCCCAGCTCTGGCTTTCCTTCAGGGGCGTCCCCTGTGTAAGGGAGGCCGGTGAAGGGTGGGCAGGGATCTTGGGACGTGCTCTTCTCACTTCATGTCTGTGTCTTTCAACAACAGAGCCCACCACACCTCTGAAAGCCAAAGAGGCCACAAAGAAGAAAAAGAAACAGTTTGGGAAGAAACGTAAGTGATGCTCTAAAGCTGCCCAGCTGGGGTGGGACCTGGGATCAGCTGAGCCTGTGTACCTGGGCGGGGGGCCGCTACCCAGATCAGTCACACTCTTCATGGCCCCACCTCTCCTTTGCCCCTTGCCCCATGAGCCTATCCATCGCCCTGTGTCTTAGGGACCCAGATCACAATTAGGGAGTCTTCTGGTCTCTGGCAGTGGTCAGGATGCTGAGGAAAAGACACAAGAGGCTGTATGGGTTGGAGCAGGGGTTGCGGGTGGCCTGGTCTCTGAGGCCTTGTGCAGTTGCGGTGTATGAGAGTAAAAGATTTAAGAGCAAACAGACAGAAGTCATTCTCTCATGATCCCCAGGGGGAGGGAGCAAGGGTGACCTCTGAGCATAGGGACCTCTCACAGGCCGACCCAACCTCAGCAGACCCCAGGCTGAGCTGCAGTGAGCTGGGCTCCCCGACGTGGTCTCCGCAGAAGAGAGGATGTCCCAAAAGGGAACAGAGAGGAAACAGACACGGTCCCTGGGCAGGGTTAAGATCCTGTGAGGGTGTGGCATGGATCAAGTGACATGACCCTGTGCCGTTGAGAATCAGGGCTGGGAAAATCACACTGTAGACGTGAAGAAAGTGAGGAGCAGAAACAGGAAGCTTAACCACCATGGCGGGGTGGGGGCACTAATCCGTTACTGGGGAGAAGCTCTGAGCCTTGGGCACACAGCCCTGAGGGGTGAGGTCAGAGTTCGGGCCTTTGTCCTCCCCGGCTGATACCTTCCCCTCTGCTGGGCTGCCAGACCACTGTTTCATGTGGATACAGCCCTCGCCTGGATTGAATTCTGTTTTTATTCCAAGGAAAAAGAATACCACCGGCCAAGACGCGGCCCCTCAGACAGGGGTCCAAGAAGGCCCTGCTGGAGGAGGACCTGCAGGCGGCGGAGAAGGTGCCATCGGAGCCCACTCCTGATGAGAGTAAGAGCTTCCCGCACAAGGCTGGGGCCGGTGGGCGGCTCCCTGCTTAGAGGCCGGTCCTCTCCTTCCCCACCTGGGCACAGAAGAGCAGAGTCAGGCTTGAGGGCATTTTCTGGGCACCGAGTAACCTTTCTCAGACCACTGGACCCAGAGGGCTTCCCAGACACCCGCCCCCAGCTCTGAATGGAGCCGGGCACTGGCCTGGCCCTCCCCACCCCAACCCCAGCCCATGCACTTAGCAGGGTGGGCTGCCTGCCAGGCTGGTGGGACAGGGCCCTAGGCCTTGGCTACTGCCTGCCCCACAGAGGGGAAGGGGCTCTCCCTGCCACACCCCGAGGGCCCCTGCCTGTAGGAAGCCCGGTTCCTTCTCCAGATCTTGAGCTCCATGCATCTCTCCTTCTTGCCCCGCACCTCTCTTCCTCTTCAGTCATCACCGTGCGCGTGAAGGAAGAGCACTTGGACGTGGCCATGGCCGACAAGGCCCCAAGTCCAGAGCTGCCTGTCCCAGTCGAGAACATCAAACAGGAGATGGATGACTGAGCCTTCCTCGTTGCCAGCCGGAAGCCAGCCTAGGGCGCCTCTCTCGCCACCAGGCCAACCTACTTTACTTTGGAGACTGAGCGTTTTTGCATAAATTTTGCCTGGTACTGTGGGGGCCAGGCACCCAAGGAGCAGCCAGGGTCTCCTCTGGCCTCCTCTCCAGCAAGGCCATGAGACGGGGGCTACCTGTGAGCAGCTCCCTCTCCAGCGAGAGCTCCTGAAGCTCTTCCTCACTCGTCCCCTCCACTCCCCCACACTGCTCCATTGGCAGGGTGGGGGCTACGCATGGCAGACAAGTTGGCTAACGGTTAGGCCCGCGCAGATCTCGAGGTGGGGGCAGTAGTCACCTGACAGACGTGAGTGGTGTCAGGGGTACAGCCTCTGCCCCAGACACCATGCGGAACGGCCCCTGCTGCCTGGCTTGGGGCTCTGCTCTTCCTGGCACCCCAAGGAGGTTGGGGAGCCCTGTACCAGTGCCCAGCTCTGGCAGCAGCTGAGCAGCAGTGACCATCATGTAGGTCCCGGTGACTTGTGAGGTGGCCTTGATCTGTTTTTCCTTGGCATGAGTACTGATTGCATTTCCAAGAGGAGCAGAGGCAAGGTCTGTCCCCTAGGAAAGGGAGCTTGCCAGGGCCTCAGGTGGGGGAGACCACACCAGTCCCTATGCCATGGGAAGGGGGGTGGGTCTGGGTGTGTGCACATGTGTGTGCATACGCGTGCAAGCATCCCCTGAGAGAGAAGGTGCCACCATTGTTGAACTTAACCCACTCTGGAGCCCAGCTGGACTAGGACCTGTCCTTTTCTTTCTCCCTTCCTCTGTTAACCAGGAACAGGTCTGGCCTTGCCAGAAAGTCTTGGGGCCTCGACACGGGATGGTCCGCCCTGCTGGCTGACGTGGCCCTGAAGGAGCTCCTGGAGGCAGGGACATGCTTCTTGGTCCTTTCCCTCACTGTGCGTGTCCTTAACTCCATAATAGATTTTGATTCTGCTGCTCCTCTGAAAGTACATTCTAGAAGTTCACCTAGTGTCTGCCCACATTTCAGCTGCTTCCATTCCGCAGTTAAGTCTCCTTTGAAGCTGTTTTCTCCCTCTGACCCACCGTCTCTTCAGGAGACCTGGGACCTAAGTGGTAACAGGCTCCTGTCCTCAGCCCCTCTTGCCTTCCACCACGTGTTTGAGTAGCGACAGCATGGCTGGGTGTGTCCCTGTGTTGCCCTGTAATAGCTGCCACAGTCCATGCCTGCCAGATGGGATGCTGACCTTGGGTGTGTAGAGGACCCTACTGTTAGATGTCATCCCGGAGATGGGCGACCAGCCCAAGGGGAGCCAATTTCAGTTCAGAGAGAACCAGATCTTCTGTCCTTTCCTAAAGGCACTGTGCAGGCTCAGGTGGAATAGAAACGAGGCCTAGGAAGCCCCCTCTTGCAGCCTGAACTCCCCTAAATGTGACAGGGGCTGTGCCTCCCCTCACCCCACCTCATGGTGATGGGTGGGTCAGTGGAGGAAGGTGGCTGACAGCGTGCAGTTCCACAGCCTGCTCGCATGGCCTGCCTTTGTTGAGGGTGATTGCCCAGCTGAGAAGAATCATTATCCCCTCTGCTCCTCCCTTTAAAGGATCAAGTTCTGACTGAAGAGCTTCTGGGGTGATGGGACTTGTTTGACCTTCAGTTTTGCTTCTTCCTGAGTGAAGAAGTTGATGCCCACAGTGCTTGAGCACAGCACGTAGGGCTAGGGGACAAGTTTAGCCGCCGATCCAGCCCCAGATGGACTTCCCACACTTAAATCCTGTGAGACGATTAAATCCCTTTCTTGCTGCAGTCAGTCCGTGTTCCTTCTGTTCTGAGACGCCACCCCACCAGGTCGGCTACAGAGACGGGGAGAGTTCACCCATGAAGAGTGCAAGACACGTCTCCACAGCAGACACCGTGGTACTTGTCTCTGCCACTCCCCTCCAGGACCCCGGGCTCCCCAGAGGCCCAGCCCATCTTCACGCCCCTCGTGACCAGCATGAAGGTGCCCTCAGCGAGCATGTGACCAAGTGTACACACATCCCTGGGCCCTGGAGGTTAGTCAGGCACAGATGGACATGTTGACCTCCAGGACGTTTTAGCTCAAAGCACAGAATGAACCTTGTCCCTCCACTGCCCTTGCCATTGGATGGGACGAAAAGTCTTGAAGTTGCACAGCAGTGGCGGGGGTCGTGGAGGGATGGGGAAACACCTGAAGGCTGGAAGATGTCCTGAGGAACAGAAGCCTCTCCACTCCTTGCCCCACTGCCCAACGGCCTGCAGTGAGCACCTCTCTGGGGCAAACACTGGTGGACTTGACTTTACTGTCACCCCGTTGGCCCCTTGGCTGCTTGAGGGATGGGGAAGCAAGGGAATTGGCATTTGTGACAGCCTCATGCCAGACTAGCTTACAAGTGTTCACACCACTTACTTCATCCTTGATCCTGTGAGGACATGGTGACTTTATTTTACATGTAAGAGAAAGAAGGCTCATTAAAGTTCAGTAACTTGGTGGCCTAAGTTGACAAGAAATGGCAACAGTGGGATTAAACCAGCTTGTCTTGGCCAGGTCACAAGACTCGGTGGCTTCAATCTGGTGAGCAACCCAACGCGGAACATTCTGCCAGGGATCAGGGCCTGTGTCCTTCAAGGCCTTTGTATTCCTGGGAGGAAGCAGCTACTTTAAATAGAAGTAGAAATAAATCCTAGGGCTTCCCTGATGACTTAGTAGTAAAGAATCTGCCTGCCAGTGCAGGAGATGCTGGCTTGATCCCTGGTCTAGGGAGATCCCACATGCTGCAGGACAACTACTGAGCCTGTGCTGTAGAACCTAGGAGCTGCAACCGAGCCCACGGGCAGCTAACTGCTGAAGCCCAAGAGCCACCACAAGAGAAGCCTGCGCACCTCAAGAAGAGGAGCCCCCGCTTGCTGCAATTCGAGAAAAACCTGTGCAGCCAAGAAGACCCAGCACAGCCAAAATAAAATAAACCCCTGGTGTGATCACTCACCTAGAGCCAGACATTGTGGAATGTGAAGTCAAGTGGGCCTTAGAAAGCATCACTATGAACAAAGCTAGTGGAGGTGATGAAAATCCACTTGAGCTATTTTAAATCCTAAAAGATGATGCTGTGAAAGTGCTGCACTCAATATGCCATCAAATTTGGAAAACTCGGCAGTGGCCACAGGACTGGAAAAGGTCAGTTTTCATTCCAATCCCAAAGAAAGACAATGCCAAAGATGCTTAAACTATCACACAATTGCACTCATCTCACACGCAAGTAAAGTAATGCTCAAAATTCTCCAAGCCAGGCTTCAATAGTATGTGAACGGTGAACTTCCAGATGTTCAAGCTGGTTTTAGAAAAGGCAGAGTAAACAGAGATCAAATTGGATCATTGAAAAAGTGACAGTTCCAGAAAAACATCTAGTGCTTTATTGAATATGCCAAAGCCTTTGTGTGGATCACAACAAACTGGAAAATTTCTTAAAGAGATGGGAATACCAGATCACCTGACCTGCCTCCTGAGAAATCTGTATGCAGGTCAGGAAGCAACAGAACTGGACATGGAACAACAGACTGGTTCTAAATAGGGAAAGGAGTATGTCAAAGCTGTATACTGTCACCCTGCTTATTTAACTTCTATGCAGAGGACATGAGAAACGCTGGGCTGGATGAACCACATGCTGGAATCAAGATTGCTGGGAAAAATATCAATAACCTCAGACATGCAGATGATACCACCCTTATGGCAGAAAGCAAAGAACTAAAGAGCCTTTTGATGAAAGTGAAAGAGAAGAGTGAAAAAGTTGGCTTAAAACTCAACATTCAGAAAACTAAGATCATGGCATCTGGTCCCATCACTTCATGGCAAATAGATGGGGAAACAGTGGCAGACTCTCTTTTTGGGGGGCTCCAAAATCACTGCAGATGGTGACTGCATCCATGAAATTTAAAAGACGCTTGCTCCTTGGAAGAAAAGTTATGACCAACCTAGATAGCATACAGTAGATAGTAGAGACATTACTTTGCCGACAAAGGTCCATCTAGTCAAAGCTTTGGTTTTTCCAGTAGTCATGTATGGATGACAGTTGGACCATAAAGAAAGTTGAGCGCCAAAGAATTGATGCTTTTGAACTGTGGTGTTGGAGAAGACTCTGAGAGTCCCTTGGATAGCAAGGAGATCCAACCAGTCCATCCTAAAGGAAATCAATCCTGAATATTCATTGGGAGGACTAATGCTGAAGCTGAAACTCCAATACTTTGGCCACCTGATGCGAAGAACTGACTCATTTGAAAAGACCCTGATGCTGTGAATGATTGAAGGCGGGAGGAGAAGGGGACGACATAGGGTGAGATGATGGGATGGCATTACCAACTCAATGGACATGAGTTTTAGCAAACTCCAGGAGTTGGTGATGGACAGGGAGGCCTGGCATGCTGCAGCCCATGGGGTCACAGAAAGTCAGACTCAACTGAGCGACTGAGCTGAACTGAATTATGATCCCAATTACTTAAAAAGAAAAAAAAGGAATTCAACTATATGTTTTGTCAAATGTAATGTCAAGGGGGTGATGGAGTCTGACCCGTGGTGCCAACACCACATCTGTACCCTTGCTCTTCCCACCCCAGCAACAAGTGAGACCCCCGAGATCGGGTGGGAAAAGGCTGAATCGACAGCAAGCCAGCAGTGACCATCACTGTGGGATTCTCCTGGACACACATCGTCCCGGGAGGCTGCAGCTTAATCAGGCCACTGTCCCAGGGGACAAAACGGCGTGTGGTCATTTCTTCACAAGCCCCATCTGAGCTTAGCCCAGAGCTGGAGAGGGTGGACATCACTCTCAGATGCCACCAGAAATACATCTGGTCCCTGCCCAGATCTACAACCTCATGAAACTGAGACCAAGAGAAGTCAGACCCTTACCACCGTAAGGGCCTTAAAACCTGACCCACCCGAGGCCTACCTCGTTCGCTCTCTGCCATCTTCCCTTCATGGGGGTCCCCCGGGCGCCAGGCCTGGGGGCTGGGGTCCACTTGGCCTTCCTGGCAGCCCGGCCCGGGCAGGCTTCAAAGACAGCAGCTGCGGCCTTCACCCTCTGGCCACGGGCACTGGGGGGGGTGGCACAGGTGGCCCCCACGCGCAGGTTCAGACCCGTCAGCCACCTGAGAAGAAATGGGGCGGGGAGCCCCCATGCCGAACTTCCCTGAGGACAGCAAGGAGGTCCTTGGGTTTGGGCACAGTGGGGCCGAGTGGGTGAGAGTGGACACACCAGTTAAGTGATCCTGAGCAAGTCAAACCTCAATCCCCTCCCTGTAAAAGGGGGCCGGTAATAAACAGTGGTGGAGGACTGGTGAGCCAAAGCGATGGAGACAAGCTCCTGAATTTAACGTCATCTTACAGTCACCACCAGGAGGTGGACACAGTCACCATCATCCCCTTTACAGATGACTTAACAGTACAGAGAGCCCACGTGGCTCAAGAGGAGACAATCACAGAGGCGGCTTTGAGCCCTGGTCTCTGGGCTCCAGGGCCCTTGCTGCTTTCTTGGGCAATGAGGTACAGTGCTCTCACATGCTGACTAGGTCCACTCGGCTGGGCAGATTTCACCCCCACTTTATGAATGAGGGAACAGAGGCTCAGGGAAACCCACCCCAAGCCCTGTGGGGTAGCTCCCCAGGGAGGGTAGCTGGCCCTGGCAGGATCCTCCCCCACCATAGGTGCTCAAATGGCACCAACCTGGTGTCCCCAGGGAGACGGTGGGGGCTTGAGAGCAGCTGGCCCCAGCTGGGGGGTTCAGGTGGGGGTGCTCACCTGTGAAGTGGGAGCAGCTGGCAGTCACAGCGGAAGGGGTTGCCGCTGAGGTCAATGAGCTCCAGCTCACTGAGACCGGGCAGGGCAGGCAGTGTCTGCAGCTGGTTCTTCTGTAGGTGTAGGCTCCGGAGCCGGGGCCCCAGGCCCGAGAAGGCTCCAGGAGAAATCTGCAGGAAGGCGCCAGGCCCTGGTGTGAGCTCCTGCCGGCCCGTCCCAGCCCCAGGCCTGGGGAGTGGAGAGCCCAAGGCAGGGGCAGGAAGGGCAGTGCTGGTGGAAGACCCAGGCTGGTCCAAGGCCAAAGCACTTGCCCTCTACAAGTCACCCAGACCCCCAGTTCATGGTTCTTTCTGCTAGACCCTATCCCCCACACAATAACAAAAGCCCTGCCCACAAAGCGTGTAACAGCAGGTAATCCCACAGACCCTGGGGAGCTCCCGCCTCCAGGCCTCAGCAGCGTCCTCCCTGCCTCCATGTGGCACTGCATTCCGGCCTGCTCCGTGGCCCACGCCTGAGTTCCTGGGGGCAGGCGCAGTGCCCAGCTCATCTCAGGGCCCTCACGCCCAGCCTCGGGCCCAGCGAGGCAGGGCAGCGGTGTGGGCTGAGAACACAAGCTGCCTCCCCTTGCCCCTTCTCCCCTGCGCCCACCTGCTCCAGGCCACTGCTGTTCAGAAAGAGGTGCTGCAGCGAACGGCCCACAGGCCGGAAGGCGCCATCTCGTAGGGCCCCGAGCGGGTTCCCCGAGAGCTGCAGCTCCAGAAGGGCTGGCAGCCCCTCCAGGGCCTCAGAGGGCACCTCGTCCAGCTGGTTCCTGTCCAGGTGCAGCTTCTCCAGCTCCCGAGCAGGGCCCAGCGCCCCAGGGGACACTCGGGCAAGGCGATTCCCACTCAGGTAGAGCCAGCGCAAGGCCCGCCCGCCTTCCAGGTCACCGGGCGCCAGGTGGTCCAGGGCGTTGTCCTGCAGGTGCAGGGAGAAGAGACTGGGCAGGGCGAGCAAGGCAGCCCCTGGCACCCGCACGAAGCGGTTCCGCTCCAGGTACAGGTAGCCCAGGCGGGGGGCTCCCTCGAGGGCGGCAGCACTGAGGCCGGAGAGCCGGTTGTCGGACAGGTAGAGGTAGAGAAGGCTGTCCAGCCCCGCCAGGGCGCCTGCCTCCAGCTCCGTGAGGCCGCAGTGCTGCAGGTGCAGCGACACGAGGCGGCCCAGGCCCGGGAAGGCCGCTCGGGGCACCACGGGGAAGCGGTTCCGCCTGAGGTCCAGGAGCTGGGTATCGTTGGGGAAGCCGCGGGGCACGGCCTGCAGGCCCCGGCCCTCACAGCTGCTGTGCCGCGATTCGGGGACGCACACGCAGGTGCGCGGGCAGGGCCCAGCCGCCCCGGCCTCCTCCCCGGAGGCACTGGCAGGGGCGCGGGGACGCGCGGCCGCCAGCTCCTTGGCCTCCTCCGCCGCCGCCGCCCCGGACTCGGGGCAGCGCAGGTCCAAGGGCCGCAGGGCGTCCAGGGCCTCCCCGCGCAGGCGCCGCGGCCCCCAGCACGCGCCGTCCGAGCTCACGCGCGCCCGCGCCAGCCACTCCAGCAGCGGCCGGGCCCGGCAGCCGCACCACAGCGGGTTCCCCTGCAGCCGCAGCCGGCGCAGCTGCCCCGGGCCCTGCAGCGGCGGCAGGGCGTCCAGCTGGTTCCCACGGAGGTCCAGCGTGTGCAGGCGGGGGCAGCGGGCGAAGGCCCGGGCATCCAGGGCCTGCAGGGCCCCATGGTCCAGCCTCAGCTCCCGCAGGCCGGGGAGCGCCAGCCCGTCCTCCTCCCCCGCGTAGGTGAAGGGGTTGTGGCCCAGCTCGAGGCGGGCCAGGCCGCGGGCCTGGGACAAGGCCGTCCCGGGCAGGGCCTGCAGCTCGTTGTGGTGCAGGCTGAGCCGGCGCAGGGCGGGCAGGCCGGCCAGGGCCTCTGGGGCCAGCACGCTGAGCGCGTTGTGCGACAGCTGCAGCCAGCGGGCGCGCACCAGCCCCTGGAACGCCAGGGCGGGCAGGTAGACCAGGGCGTTGTGGGCCAGGTTCAGCGTGATCACCGCGCCCAGCGCCCCGAACGTCCCTGGCCGCAGCTCCTCCAGCAGGTTCCCCGCCAGCTCCAGCCGCTGCAGCGAGCCCAGCCCGTCCAGCGCCTCCTGGGGCAGCGCGCTCAGGCGGTTGGAGGCCAGGTTGAGGAGGAGCAGGCGGCCCAGGCCTCGGAAGGCCCCCTCGGCCACCAGCTCCACCTGGCAGTACCGCAGGTCCAGATGTGTCAGGTAAGGCAGGTCCCGGAAGGCAGCCGGGGGGATCTCCTTCAGCATGTTGCCCTGGAGCTCCAGACGCTGGGTCAGCTGAGCCGGGAGAGGAGGGCGAGGTTGAGGGGAACCCGGACCACAGCCTGTGCCCCTTGCTAACGCTGGCATGTGCTCTTCCCTCACCTGGAACAGTCTCCCCCCGCCTTCTCTTCATCCTGCTCCCTGACACCTCCTCCAGGAAGCCTTCCTCCGCAGCCACCCGGGTATCCCCGGCTCTGGCACTTTCCACGTTGAACTGTCACTGCCCCCTCTGCTTTCACTCTCCTATCCAGCTCTTGACTCCACAGGCAGAGACCATAACTTATCCCAGTAGATCCCTAGTTCACTGCCCCAGGGCCTGTAATTAACTCAGTGTCTCTTATAGGTCACTTAACTTGTTCCAGTCACTTAGGATTTTAAATAGATCATCTCCCTGTTGTTGGCTGTTATCATTCCCATTTTACAGATGTGAAGACTGAGGCTCAGGGAGGAAAAGTGAGTTGCCGGAGCCTCCCCCAGCCAGGTAGTGGCAGATCCTCCGGTGCCAGCCCAGGCTCCTCCTGCTGTCCTCCCCCACCCCACCTTGCCCTGCTGACCTCAGGGATGGCGGTCGGCACCTCGGTGAGGTTCTGGTGCCGGCAGGCGACATGCCTCCTGGGATTGTCGCAGACGCAGGCCTGCGGACAGCGCTGGGCCACCACACACCGGTTTGGCCCCAGTGGCAGCAGCAGTGGAAGCAGCAGCACCAGGGAGACACTCTGGGGCCTGGCAGAGAGAAGGGCCAATTGTTTGCAGAACAAGAGACCCACACTGTCTGCTTCCCTGAACACTGCTTCTTGTCCCAGAGCCCCTCGGACGTTTTCCTCCTCTGGTGCTGGGGAACTGTCATTACCCTGAGCCTCCAACCCCTCCATTGAGCTGGGATTCCCTGTTTTACACCAGAGGCAACAGGATCAGACCGAGGGACGACCTGGCGAGTCTCTGTGACTGTCTGCCCAGTGCCTTGGTGAGGCCTTGCCCAGTCCAGAGGAGTGGACAGGCTGTACAGAGGCTCCTTGGTCCAGCGGAGGCCTGTCCTCCCAGGGTGAGGTCGGCGATGGAGAGTCAGCCGTTCCTCAGACTGATGTGGCATCGGCATTCTGGTGCTAGGGAGCATGATACCCACCTTGAGAAGACGGCCTGGCAGCCGGAGGGGCAGACCCAGGCCTGGCCCGAGTGAGGCTAGACTTTGGGGGACCAGGTGTCATGGGGTCCAAGAGCCTCAAGGAGCCTTAGTGGCTGGCCAGTGCCACTCTGACAGGCAGGCTGGTGGGAGCTCCGACTTCTCTCCTGTTTATTCCTCTGCTGTCCTTTCTTCATCTTAGCACCACCCAGCTGGCCTGGCCTGGGGGAAACTGAGGGTATGGCCTTGGGGCTGTGCTTTGGGCCAGGTCTGTCCACTTACCCGTCTGTCCACCCACCATGCGTCTATTGCCCAGCAAGACCCCTTCACCTCCCAACTGCTACCTGCCTCCCCACAGGGCCCACCGTGCCACGGTGGCACTCCTTGCTCCCCCAGCCCTCCGCTCACCACCAACACCCAGAGGGAACTTTCCGAAATACAGGTGGGCCCTGACACCCCAGCTGAAAACCCTCCAGCATCTCCTCACTGCCTATGCTGGTAAGTCCTGAGTCCTGACTCCCTGACAGGTACCCACCCGCTGGAGCCTTCAGCGTTCCCGTTGGCTGCCCTACCGGAGTACGCAGAGCAGCTCCCTCCTGTCTGCCTGCCACGCGAACCTCACCAGCTCTTCCTGTCTGTCCTCAGCTCTATGAGCAGCCCTTCCTGGCCCCTGGGCTGGCTCCTACCCTGAGCCGCTCCATTTCTGCTCACTGACTTGTCACTGTCTATTTTGCAGTCTCCTTTGAGTCCTAGGGTCGAGCCTGGCCTTGCGGCTGGTGGCATCCTCTAGAGTCTGTAATGAGGTTGGGTCTCAGGGCAGGCTGCTATGGGGTGGGGGGTGCATGGGGACAGATCCCTGAAGGTCAAGCACCCAGGCCTTGGAGGGCTGCCAAGCTCTCAGCTGGGCTCCTGGAGGACTAGCCCAGGGGAGCTCCTGGGAGCAGCTGCACCCGCCATCTTACACAAAATCTTGAGACCCTCGGAAAATCTCGGTCCAGGAAGATCCCAGGGCCCCTGCCCCCCAGCCCTGAGAGGCCCAGGGGCTTGCCTGCAGCCATGCAGCTTCTCTGACCCCCTCCCCCAGCAACCCCGGGGCCCCAGTACTCACCCCGTCATGCCGATCGCACGGCCAGTCTGGCCTGGAGGCGCAACACAGAGAAAGGCTGGCGACAGTCCCCCGCCTGGACTCCGGGGGAGCCCCCCCTCCCGGCCCGCAGACCTGGCAGTGGGGGCAGAGCTGAATGGGAGGCTTTGTGAGGTGAGGGAGAAACGGGCATGGCGGGAGCAGCAGCTGGAGTTACAGGGCCTCAGACCGAGTCCCTGGGCCAGCCCAGCCAGGAGGGGCCTCGAGGGGCTGGCCAGCCCGTGGGTCCCAGGCCTGGACTTCCTCCTGCTGTGGGTCCTTGGGCAGGGCTGCGCCTCCCCAAGCCTGCTTCCTGCTGTTAACCTGTTCCCACAGTAACCAGCTCACAGGGCTGCGCCTGGCACACAGCAGGGACTCAGGAACAGATAAAGGCCTTGTTTGTGCTTACATCTATATACATTGTTCAACACTTGACACAAAGTATTCTGCAAATTTGTTCTTTTTCCACTCAACATCAGGGAACTAAGCTGATTAGTTAGTATTTCATTGTATAAATGTATCGACTTATCCATTAGATGTTATGGTTGCCTCCATTTTTTTATTAGTGTTGCACAGAATACCTAAATACTTATCTTCCTAAGGACATGTACACTTCAAAAAAAAAATAAAAATAGTTTATCTAGACCATAGCAATTATGTATCCTATGATTTTCCACACCCTATGATATTTTAGATGTGTTTCTGGTGGAAATGCAGCTTTCATTCTGTTTTAACTTTTTTAAAGCAAGAAACAGTGTCACACCACACGCAGACTTCCACATGTGCTTTATTTCACACAGCAAGTTCTATCCACAGTATTCCACAGTGTGTATTCTTTCATGTCTGAGCCTTTTTTTTTCAATCAGTATTATTTGTGAGATTCGCCTGTGATGTGTATTTTTAAAATTTGTCCATTTTCATTTTTATCCAGCATTCCCTTCTATAAATATTCACAAGCAGCATGGGACAGCGGCAGGAGTGAGATCCGCCCCAGATGGAGGTAAGGAAGAGGTGTAGCATCTCCTTGTCTCTCCCTTCTACCCAAAGGCAACCAGTTTCATGCAGTAGTATAGTTTTTAAATATATCAAACAGTGCCTATTATTTTGCAAACATGTTTCTTTCACTCAGCCATGTTTTTGAAGGTTTATTCAGTAGATACATGTAGCTTCTGCATCTGGTTTATTCATTTGGAGTGCTACATATATCTCACTGCATGTCTGTGTGCCATAGTTTATTCTACTGATGGACGTTTGGTTATTTATTTTGGCTGTGCTGGGGTCTTAGTTGTGGCAGGTGAGATCTTTGCTGTGGCATGCAGAATCTGTAGTTGTGGCACCTGGGAATCAAGTTTCCTGACCGGGAATCAAACCTGGGCCTCCTGCATTGAGAGCTTGGAGGCTTAGCCACTGCACCACCAGGGAAGTCCCATTTGGCTATTTAGTTTTCTGCTATTCCTCACCAAGCCGCTCGTCTCCTTGTGCTCGCGTACAAGTTTCTCTCAAGTAGATCAGAAATGGAACTTGTGGTCACAGGCTATGTGCGTTTTCAGCTTTCTCAGTATCTGCCAAATTACTCTCTAAAGTGGCTTTTATTAGCTTGACATCCCTCCAGCAATGTGTAAAACGGGCCAGACTCATTTCTTTCCTGGTGTCGTATTTGCCAGCCTGGTCTATAATGGTATTATCTGTAGTTTTACTTCACATTTCCTTCAAATTGGATGTATATTCTCAGCACGAATCCTTGTTATCTATGTTGCAGTGTCTTTTTCTGCTCTCTCACCTTGTCAACTTGTACAGTATTTTTGGTCACTTGGTTTTCACTTTTATTTTTTAAAATTATTGGCTGTCTGGTCCTAACTGCGGTGATCGGCTCCAGGGCGCAGCCTCAGTAGTTGCAGCCTGTGGACTTAGTGCTCTGTGGCATGTGCTAGCTCCCTGACCAAGGACCCATGGCCCCTTCGTTGGCGGCAGATTCTTATCCACTGTACCACAGGAAGTCCCCACTTTTTATTTTGATGAAGGCAAATTTCCTTATGGTTTGTGCTTTTTATGTGTAAAAAATGTTCTCCAGTGTTTGTCTTTCAAAAAGGCTATGGCTAAAAAAAAAAAAAAAAAAAAGGCTGTGGCTGTCAGGCAGATGGAGTTGGACCACTTTGAAGAGTGGTGCACAAAGGCAGCCTGTGCCTCTACCCCGTCCTGACCCCCACCCTCCCCAGGCTAACTCCCGTGCTGAAAGCTGGGTCTGTCACACACGTGTGTATGCCGGCTTTGGAACCCAGGGTGCTGGGCTGAGATTTCCTTCACTCGAGGCCACTGTTGATTCATCTGTGGGGGTCACAGTGTGCTTCAAGCCCACACCACGCTTTCACCATTGTGTGACCTGGGTCCATTTTCCTGATGTGCCTGCTGTCGTAACAGTGCTGCTCCAGGCACCCGTGACCACACTGCCTGGGGCTTCCAGGATGGAATCGATGGTTTGCGAGCCACTGGCCCACAGATGAGCTCCGTTTACTGGGAACAGCCTGGGGTTGAGCAGGACGTTTGCAGCTAGGGGGGCGGTCACAGGCTGCTCCAGCAGAGGCATCTGGTGGAGTCAGGGTGCTCAGAGACCTGGAGCCTGTGTAATCCTAGGATCAGCTGTTGTCCTCAAACGTTGGCATTCGAGTCTGGGGAGGCGATTCCAAAGTCTGCTCTCAGTAGGCACCAGGTAGAAGCCCCCAGCCCCTCCCTGCACCTGGAGCTGCTCTGCAGGACGGAGTGGGGTGGGCATCCTCCACATTGTGCGGGTGAGGAGCAGGCACTTGCCAGCCAAGAGGTGAATTAGACGAGATCTGTGCTCCTCCTATCTGAGCTGTAGCTCGACCCAAGTCAACTTGGGAGGAGGGGCCAGCTCTGGGTGGCTGGAAGGGAGAAGCACCCAGGCCAGAGAACCCTGTCAGGCCCCTGTGGCTCTGAGCTGCAGTTTCTCCATCTCTCACGTTACCACTTGTGAGAGATCCTGCTTGGACGTCAAGACTCAGCTCTTGAACCCATAACTCAAGACGTCTTCTCTGACCTCACCGCCCACCATCCCCACACTGGGCCTCCTGCACCAGACCGGAGCTCCCCAGAGGCTGTGTGCACCGCCCAAAAGCTCAAAACGGCCAGACCCCCACCTGCCTCCTAGGATGGGGCGGGGGGAGGGCGAGGCCTGGGCATCGCTCTGCCACCCAGCCAAGAAGGATGTCGCCTGAGTGGTCTGTGGCCAATAAAGACACAGCGCCCCCCAAGCAACCTCAGAGAGCGCTCTTCACTGCAGAGCCTGTTCTAGGGCAGGCGGTAAGGACAGGGTTGGGCTGTCATCACACCACTGTGGCAACAAGAGAGAAGGACCCCAAGGGTGGTGCCCTCCACTCTGGGCCGCTTCCCATGCAGACCCAGGGGCTCTTGCCTTGGCTGCCAGCAGGGCCTGGGGCCAAATCTGGACCATGTTGCACTCAGCCGGGTCCATAAATGGAATAATGAAAGGGCCGGTGGAGCCCAAAGGTTAGGTAAGGCGGGACGTGGGGCTAGGCAGGTGAACCAGGGCCCAACTCACCTGCCCCTCCACCCTCCCCGAACTCCAGGTGGCTGCCCCTCCTGGCTACCACCCACCCAGCTGTGCGAGGGGGGCTGGCAGGCCCACCACAGAGGGAGAGGGCTACCAGGCTGCCCCCCGGTGATAATACAGGCTGGCCTGGCAGCTCTTGGGCAAGGCAGACCGCCCCCTACAGACCTAGATGGGGGGAGGGAGGGGCATCACCATGGCCCCATGAGGCAGAATCCCAGGAACCAAGGCCTGAGAACAGCCCACTTTAGCGGAGACGTTCTCAGTGTTCACTGCTGCCACACTTTATTTGTGAAGCCCCGGGCACAGCCCAGACACACACACAGCACATGGGGAAAGCACAGAGTGTCCCAGGGCCCCTCCGGCCCAGCCCAGCCCCCACCTCGCCCCGGCCCCAGGTCCTCAGGCCTGGGCAGGCCCTGTCCCTGCCCACGCAGCTAGAGAACAGGTGTGGGCCTGCCCAGACCCCTCACCTCTCCGCGGGGCTCCCAGGCCGCACCCAGATACCTCAGCGGCCCGAGGAGGTCCCACGGGGTGCGGAGCCAGCGCTGTCCCAGCAAGTCCGGCTCCCAGACCCCTGGCTTCCCTTCCTGTCCACACAGGTGTGGGTGGCTACCCCCACCCCGTGGCCCCAACCAGAGCGGTCCCGGCCCCTCAGGCTGAGGGGTCGCACAGAACAGGATGGATGGTAGGGGCAGGGGTGGCCAGAGGAGCCAGGCCTGGTGACAGGAAGCTGAGCAGCCCTGAGCGAGCAGCCCCAGGCAGGACGGGACACACCCGGCCAGCAGCGCCCCAGGCCTGGCACGCCCACACTGGCGGCAAGGAAGGCGGGCGGGCAGGGACGGCTGCCAGGGCCTGGCGTCCGCACAGAGAGCAGAGCGTCCTCAGATGGCGGCAGCTTTAATGGCACAACAGCCTGCGGCTCTGGTGCCTGGGGGCCGTCAGCTCCGCTCCAGTGGGACCAGAGCAGGTCCGGCAAGGAGACACGAAAAACTCAAACCCCGACCAGAAGCACATGCCCGCAAGTACGCCACACCGACACACACTCAGGAGACATGACACGTGAGACAAGCCCGTCCCTGCCACGGCCAGAGTCCTTCAGGTGAGTCCCTTCCCAAGTCATGGTCCAGGCGAGGGATGGGCAGCGGCCAGCTTGGCGTCTAGACCTTGTACAGCGTCTGCAGTAGATTGTGGCGGGCAAAGGAGCAGGATTCCAGGGCGCCGTTGGGTCTATGGGGAGAGAAGGGTCAGCGGGCAGTTCCCTCTGGACCCAGGAAGCTCTGGCTGCGCGGCGCCAGCTTCCCAGCTGTGACGCTACCCAGAACACACACCACACTCGGGTTTTCTAATTTTCATGATGACTTTGCAAGGGGGGGTGTCAGCTCCTGTCTTTGCAGGTGGGGTTGGGGAAAGCACGAGGCCACATGGCCCAGAGCTGGGGCAAGGCTGGGGACCCGGCCTCTACCCTGCCTGACAGGCTCTCCGGGGCCTCTCCAGCGGGCACAGAGCCAGGGAGCCTTCTGCAGCCACTGGTCCCCATGGGAGTCCCAGCTGGGCCCCTGAGAGCCACAGGTAGCCAGCGAGATCATTAGTTCCACCGCCAAGAAAGGACTGGTGAGGTGCTCAGGGGGGCAGGGAGCCTGGGGAGCAGCAGGACCGGAAGCCACAGACACCTGGCCTGGTGCAGGCTGAGCCTGGACCCCGGACCCCTGGGCTGGAGCTGAGGGAAGGGAGCACACGTGACCCCACAGTCACGTCAGCCCCGAGCCCCCCTCTTCGCAAGTAGAATACACTGAGGCCTGCACCGGAGGGCCGGCAACAAGCTGGGGGGAGGCAGTCTATCACTGGCCAGCCGGGCAAGGGTGTCTGTCTTCTAGGAGTTCGGGGTCCATGCCCAGCCCAAGGGCCGGACAGGAACAACAGGAGAACAGAGACAACAGTCCCAACCAAGGGCTGGAAGGAGACATGGGCAGCCGGGGGTGGCCGCTGGGGGCTGGGGACACGATGTGGGGACACTCGAGACAGCCTGCGGCAATGGCTCCTATGGCGGGGACCACGTGCAGGGAGCGCACCTCAGCCTGGCGGAGGGAGGCCGGGCTGCGGCCCGCCTGAGATCCACGCCCAGGGCTGGGATTCGCCCTGGGCTTCGGCGGAGGGGCAGCTGCAGCACGAGGGGAGGTCTGGGGTGGGGCGGGGGGCGGGGGGCCGAGTGTGGTGGCAGTGGCGGGCGCACACAGCGAGGGCGTCAGGCCAGACCAAGGAGCACCTGAGATGCCAAGCGACAGAGGCCAAGGCCCCAACTGGGTCCTGGGGGCTGGTGGGTGGTCCTCACCCCTCCAGCCTATGCAGGCTACCCCCACATACTCCCTCGCAGGCTCCAAGCACCCTGACTGACAGCCGGAGACCCCTCCTTTCTCCTTGGCCCCCTCCCACGTTTCCCCCAAGGCCCTGGCTTCACCAGAAGTGTGGTGGTCAGAGCCTCGGAGACAACCTCACCCACCCCTCAGTTTGGCAGACGGGGAGACTGAGGCCTGGGGAAGGCCTCAGTGAAGACCGGGACGAGCTCCCACCCCACCCCACCCCGCCCCTGAGTTCGGGAGGCTCCTTGTTCCTCGACTGTGGCCACCACCCTACCAGGCCCAGGACCCTCCAGGACGAGGCCTGGGCCTCCACGTGTCTGGGCCCGTGGCATCCCCAGAGAGGGGCCTGTGGCTGTGGAGGGCCGGGCGAGCAGGCCCCCTCGGCCCAGGCTGCTGAGGGAATGGACACAGAACTGCTCCTGGGATGCTGCTGGGCATGGAGCCTGGGTCAGCAGCACGACATGGGCAGACCCCCTCTGACCTGGCGTTCACTGCCTTGTCTGTAAGACGGGGCCACTGCCGTGTCCCTACTCTCAGAGAAGGATATGGTGCCCGAGCCCTGTGTCCTCAGCTGGCACAGGCCTGGTGATATGCAACACGGAGGCCGAGAGTCCGGGAGGCCCACGTGACCAGGCCGGGACACGGACGCTGGCCGCGTGAGCTGGCGGGCACACTCACTTGGTCACGAACGCCAGCAGCAGGGGCGCCAGGGCCTTGGGGAAGTAGTCCTGCTGCACCACGTGGTTCAGCGTCATCAGGGGGCCGTGCAGGTTGCTGATGGCCTTGATCTTGTCTTCACTCTGCGAGACAGACGCACAGCCGAAGGCCGGGTGAGCGTCAAGGACACCCGGAGGACACCCGGTCCCCAGCCCGGCCCCCGCCGACAGCGCCCCACGGCCGAGGTCAAGCTGAATCCCGCATCCCATCAGGAAGGCCGAGCCTGCTTAAGCAGATCCAGGCCTGGGGACCGTGGGCGAGCAGCCCCAGCCAGACTCGAGGTGCTGGATGTTGGGGTGCACCCCCTGCCTGGGCCCACTCTCCTTCTGGCACACCTTGAGCAGCCCCATGTGGATGAGGAGCTGGGTGAGGAAGGCGTTGGAGTTGAAGGCAGACGAGCTGAAGGCCTTCTTCATCAAAGCATCTGCAAGGCAGAAGCAGTCGAGAGGACTAAGGTCATGTGGCCCCCAGGCACACAGGCTGGCCCTGCTCCTGTCTCCTCAGGAGGTGGACATGGCCACGGTAGCCAGACGGAGGGAACAGCCAGCACCAGGGAAAGGGCTCATCTCCCCGCACCCCCCCCCCGCCCATGACACTGGGGCCCGGCCTGGCCTCGGGTAGAACAGGCGTGGGCAGAGATGAGGTGAGGCAGGTCACCCTGGGGCGGTTTCAGCTGGTCTGTGGAGGTCGGGGGTTGGGGAATGGATGGGGGAGCAGGAGGAGGTGTGGCCAAGGCATTACAAGAACCCCACAAGCCCTTGCTCCCGTGTGAGGCTATTCTGGGAAACAGAATTCAGGCAACTTGTCCCCACAAATGCCCCAAGTGGGGCAGGGCTGGGCCTCAGGGAACAGACACGGAGACCCCCGCCTGGCCCTTCCCGCCCCTCCCAGCCACCCCTCCACCAGCCCACCAAGTGTCACCCGCTTCTCCCATCGCTTCCAGCCTGTCCTCCCCTCCCTGCCTGGCCCAACCTGGCGGCTCAAACACTGGCAAGGTGGAAGGTGCGAGGTGCTGTGAGGAGAGTAACTGAGAGGATGGGGTGGCCAGAGAGGGTCCTGACAGGATGAGAGACCCTCGGAAGCCTGGGCAAGGCCTGGGGACCTGTGTGTGGGTGGAGGGGACGGTTTGTGCAGCGGCTCGGAGGCGGGGACAAGGGTTCAGCCCTCATCACCCCTCCTCGGAGAGGTCTGACCTTCCTGCAGAGGGCGCCACCTGGCCCGAGCTCTCACCGTATAGAACTGTATGGCTTTGGGAAGGGCCTCAGGCTCCCCATCTGCAAAAAACAGAGAGGCGAGCACCCTGCCCAAGCTACGCGAGAACCCGACGAAGAGCAGATGGGAGGGCAGCTCTGAGACGAGCCAGGGCAGCGAAGAGGCCGGAGCTGTCCGGGCCGCCCCTGCACGCACCTACTGCGTCCTGCACAGCCGTCCGCACCGAGGCTTCATCCTTGAACACGGAGGACACCTTCAGGAAGGCGGAGACCACCTTCTCCGGGTCAGACGTGTCAGTCTGAGGACACAGGAGACGACGGCTGGTCACCAGGGGCCAGGGGCCTTGGCAGACGTGAGCACCTGCCTGTGGCTAGAGGAGGCCTTGGCAGGACACGGGCCTTCGCGGAGCAGGGACACACTGTCCCCCCAGACCCAGCAGGGGCCCGGCCACCACAGGTGTGTAGCACCCACGGAAAGTGTACGTGTTAAAAACCACTGTCTCCAGGGATCCCCTCTTGCAGTCTAACCTGATGAAATAATCCAGAACGCAAACGATGTTCACACGAAAGGAAACGTGCCTCAGCTTAACCAACAACAGAAGAAAAGCGGAAATACAGTGGATCCCCAGAAACTGGATGGTTTAAGTGCTACATCTGCTCACTGACACAAAGGGCGTGAGAAGAGCTGTAGTGACACAGAGAACATGACTGGTGTTCAGGGAAAGGGCGGCCACAAGAAGGTCAGTATCGTATGATCTCATTTACCATGGGGGAAACAAATCGCACACACACAGGTTATAGAGAAACATAAAAGGGAAATAAAAAGCCAAAATATCAAGCCAGCTCTGCGAGTGGCCCCTTTTATTTCTCAGAGACACACCTCAGAGATACTGTGGGCTTGATTCCAGACCACAGCAATAAAGCAAATACCACAGTAAAGCCAGTCACGTGAACTTCAGATTGCCCTGCGTGTTAAGTCTACGAAGTGTGCAGTAGCATGTCTAAAAAACAGGTACATTAACTCAAAAACACGTTCTTACTAGAACACACTGTTATCTGAGCCTTCAGAAAGTCATGATCTTTTATTGGTGGAGGCTATCAAACACTGTGAGAAATACCAAAATGTGACAGAGACACCGAGCAAGCAAATGCAGCTGGGACCACGGCATCAACAGACTTGCTCACCACGGCTGCCACAAACCTTCCATTTGTGTAAAAAAAAAAAACAAAACACATGCAGCCTCAGCTTTCTCATCTGTCAAACGAGTGTAGAGGGTCTACGTTCCGAGGTGCCAAGAAGGTTAAAATCACGTCCAAGTACCCAGAGCGGGGGGAGCATCAGGCACTGTGCACTGCTGCGCTCAGGTGACTGATGACCATCCCAGGAAGCACGGGTCAGCCACCCAACAGTGAGCAAGTGAGCAAGAACACAAGCGGCCAGGGACCTGCTCAGGGGCCAGGGGCAGGAGAGCTGTTCTAGAAGCAGCTGGTCCTACAGAACGTGCAGGGGGAAGCCTACCCGTGTGCTCCCGGGACAGTCCTGCGAAAATTCCCCAACCTGTCATCACTGAGATGCCCCAGGCCTACCCTTCCTTGCGGCAAGTTGTGTTCACAGTGTGCGCACACTTGTGCCACCACTGGTCACACCCATTTACACGAGTGTGCATTAGATACAACAACGCTTGGCAGCCCCGCCCCCACCCAGCCCCGAGCTGTGCCAGAACCTCTGCTCTGGCAGCTCTACCAGCCGAGGCCCAAGCGGGACTGGTGTCAGTGGTGCTGTTACCTGCTGGGCTATTAGCACGGAACTCTTGGGCCCGAGGCGCAGCAGCTTCTCCGGGGAGGGGAAGGCCAGGAAGGTGGAGACGTCTGCGGGAGGCGGGGAGGACAGGACAGGAGCTGGTTCCTGGGGGACGGGCGGCACAGGTGGCTCTGGAGAGGTCCACGTCCAGACTCCTTGCCCAGAAGGACGCCCCTCACTTGGGCCGCTCAAGGCTCAGACTCCAGAATTTCCCCAGGTTCCCCAAGGGTGAGGGGCCTGCAGAGGCTGGCCCTGGTCAGCTCCTCGCGTAGGAGCCTCTGGGGTGTGGGCAAGCACTTCCCTCAGACTCCAAGAGCCTGGTGCAGCCAAGGGGATCCTTGTGATGACATGGAGTACTGCACAATGACTCCAGGACTCAAGGGGCCCCGCCAGGAGCTGGAGTCTCAGACGGGATGACTGTTGCTGGCAGGCACCAGAGGCACCTGGCCATCAAACTGGACAGTAAGCCACATTCAACACAGCGTGGCCTTCCGTGCCCAACCCGAAGTCCCCCAGAAGCTTTACTTGGGAACCTCTGAGGGAACAGACATGCCTCCCCGCCAGGAAAGGAACACCAAGTATCCCAGCTGGCTCACGACCCGGCCACCGTCTCCAGAACGGGGGCCATCCCTAGGGGTCACCAAGATGGGGAGGAAAATGAATTTCCATTTTTGCCTGTTTTTTACCCTACTGTTTTAGAAGCACTTATATGCCTCTAGCGCAACTGAAAACCCAGGTACGACTTGACAGCTGCTCTCTGTGTCTGAGGCTCTACACCCGCAGATTCAACCAACTGCAGATCACGGAGCCGTGCTGCAGCCCAGTTACTGCAGACACCCACACACAAGCGGGCTCGTGCAGGGCACACACGTGCTCCCCAGCAGTCTGCTGCACGGGACGCGGCGGCATTGTACGTGTGATAACTTATAAACGGACAGACAAATGCAGCTGCGTGGGACGGTCTCCTCTCTTCCACAAGGCAGTGCACAGCAGAGCGAGTCTGCGGTCCTGTGCCCAAGGCGCGCCCAGCCCCAGCCGCAGCCCCGGGGGCCGTCTCAGGGCCCCAGGACTCACCCCGCTGTTCGGGCCCGGGCCCTTCCGTGAAGGCGCGCTCGGCCCCTCGCCCTGCGCCTCCTGCTGCGGCTCCTCCTCCTCCTCCTCCTCCTCCTCCTCGTCCTCTTCTCCCTCCTCCTCCTCCTCCTCCTCCTCCTCGTCCTCGTCCTCGTCGTCCTCACCCTCGTCATCACTGCGCAGGGAGACCTGGCTCAAGCAGGCCCCTCCCTGCCTGGTGGCCCACGTGGGCCCGAGGACCCACAGACCCCAGCCGGGCAGGGAGGGCCGGGTTGCGGGAGTCGCCAGGAGGCGCGGCCCACAGGGACGCCTGTGCTGCGGACAAGAAGAGCTCCATCCTGTCCGTCCCAAGGAACCCGCAGCCCCACGGGGGAGACGGAGGAAAGGAAGAACACCCTGTCACAGCTGGGTCCCGGGCCTGGCGGGAACACTGCCCAGGCTGAGATGCCCAGGACGGTGCCACCCACGTCTTGCTGACCACAGGAAACGACGGTTAAAGGGGAGCGAGGGGGCCGCCCTGCCTCTGAGGAAGGCTGTTCCACTTCCCCCTGAACTGGGGGGCCCCTTGAGTCCATCCTGGCCTAGTTCCTGCAGCAGCATGGGGCCTGGGCCTGCGGGGACATGACCGAGGACCTGACACAGGAATGACGCCCATCTAGAGATCAGAAAGGCAGGCGGAGACGGGTGCTGACGGCCGAACCAACTCCCATCCAGATGGAGGCGGCAGACCCCCGCACCCTCAAACCCAGGAAGACCTCCTTCTCCTACATCAACCTCTTCCTTCTCCAGTCGACCTCCAAGACTGGTCTCAGGAACAGCCCGGGCCCACCCCCGGCCACTGCATCCCACGTCACTGCTGCCCTGCATACTGTCACTTCAGACCAAAGCGCATCCCTTGGGAGGCCTGCCCGACCTTCCCGCTCTACAGGGTGACTGTTCTCAGCCCCCTCTGTGTTCCTGTGATATTTACACGCGATCACTTAATTATCCTTGTCTCATTCCTTGATCCCTTGCCCATGGCAACAAGGTCTTGACTGTCTTGCTGTCGATCCCCTAATGCCCAGCATGGTGCCTGGCACACCACAGGGACTCAACCCATGTTTTCTGAATGAATAAAGGGAGGAATAAAGGATCCAGTCCCCAGACCCCTACCTGAGGGACGCCAGCACTGTGGCCAGGTTGAAGCCTTCCAGCACTTCCTGCAGCTGCTCGCAGCCTTCTTCTCCCAGCATGTTGCCTGCTCGCGGGGGAGGGGCCGGGGGTCAGCACAGGGCGGGGCCCACCCAGCAGGCCGGGACCGAGGCCACCCCACTCCTACCATTGAGGTCCAGTTTCTCCAGTTCCGCCTTGTCTGCCACGGCCTCAGCAACAGACAGAGCAGCCTCTCTCTTGATCTCACCGAATGACAAGTTCAGCTCCTAAAAGATAATGGGAAGTGTTAGGGTTAGAGGCAAGCAGACACAGGAGCCAGGAGACGGGGACAGAGACAGGGGGCCAGGAGACATGGGGGACCAGGAGACATGGGGGACCAGGAGACACGGGGGACCAGGAGACACGGGGGACAGGAGACACGGGGACCGGAGACACGGGGACCAGGAGACACGGGGACCAGGAGACACGGGGGACCAGCAGACACAGGGGACCAGGAGACACGGGGACCAGGAGACACGGGGACAGGAGACATGGGGGACCAGGAGACATGGGGGAGAGGAGACACGGGGACGAGGAGACACGGGGACTGGAGACACAGGGGACAGAGACACGGGGACCAGGAGACACGGGGACCAGGAGACACGGGGACCAGCAGACACGTGGGACCAGCAGACACAGGGGAGAGGAGACACGGGGACCGGAGACACAGGGGACCAGGAGACACGGGGGACCAGGAGACATGGGGGAGAGGAGACACGGGGACCGGAGACAGAGGGGACAGAGACACAGGGGAGAGGAGACACGGGGACCAGGAGACACGGGGGACCAGGAGACAAGGGGGAGAGGAGACACGGGGACCGGAGACAGAGGGGACAGACACACAGGGACCAGGAGACACGGGGGAGAGAAGACACGGGGACCAGGAGACACGGGGGACCAGGAGACACGGGGACCGGAGACAGAGGGGACAGAGACACGGGGACCAGGAGACATGGGGGACCAGGAGACATGGGGGACCAGGAGACACGGGGGAGAGGAGACACGGGGACGAGGAGACACGGGGGACAGGAGAGAGACACAGGGACAGGAGACACGGGGGACAGGAGACACGGGGGACAGAGACACGGGGGACAGGAGAGAGACACAGGGACAGAGACACGGGGGACAGAGACACGGGGACCAGGAGACACGGGGGCAGGAGACACGGGGGACAGGAGACACGGGGGACAGGAGACACGGGGGACAGAGACACGGGGACCAGGAGACACGGGGGACAGAGACATGGGGACAGGAGACACAGGGACAGGAGACACGGGGGACAGAGCCTCCACTCCCCCAGGTGAGGGTCTGAGACGGACTCTGTCCGGCAAAATACAACACCACCATGACAAAAAGAATGCTGTTCACCCAACGACAGGACAGGTTCTGAATGTTCACTCCCACTAAAGTGCAATGAATCAAGTCACTCTTCTTCTCTTTGAAAAATCAGAAACCCTAGCTTGGAGGGGTGAAGAGACTTGCAGAGTCATCAGGGAAGGAGGATGTGGAAGGGCTGGGCTGCGAACCCAGGCCCACCTGCCTCGAAAGGCCCGAACCCTGCCCCCTGCACAGCTGTCACCCTGAGCGCGGGGAGCCGGGACCCCGCAGGGAGGAGGCAGGGGGTCGGCCAGGACCTTCAGCTTGGGCAGGCCCCCGCGGATGGCGTCTGCGATGGCGACGGCACCCTTGGAGCGCACCAGGCAGTCCCCGAAGTTGATCGCCTCCACCTGCCGCAGGGCCGTCAGCGTCTGCAGGAAGAGGTGGGGCCAGGGTGAGGCCCTACTTGAGCCAGTGTCATGCCCACAGCGCCCTGTCCCTCTGCGCCCAGTCCAGTCGCCTCATCAGCCCTTTCTGTTGCCCCCAGGAGGCCTTCCAGCCTCCGGCTAAGTCCCCTCCAGGGCTCCCTATTACTCACGGGAGAAGGTCTCAGGAGTCAGCAAGGCCCCCTCCAACCCCCAGCCCTCAGACACACCCTGACCCCCGGCCTGCTCACACCAGGCCCCGGGGAGCAAGGGTCACTCCCGTCTCTGGCCTCCCCGCGGGCTGCTGACCCCATTGCCCGGAACACCCCTCCTGCCCTCCCTGTCCACACAAAGTTCACTTGTCCTGGAGAACGTGGCCACCACATGGCCTCTTTCAGGAAGCCTGCCCTGCATCTGGCTGGACTCCCTGTGTGCTCCCCAACACTTGCACACGTCTGTTAAGACGCCACAGCAGGACTGTGAGGTAGACGGGAGCGGCGGCGTCTCCCACCCAGCGGCCCAACGCCTAGCAGCCACTGTGCTCCTGGCCAACCGGCTCCTTCCTCCCCTCCTCGCCCTCGGGGCTCCCTGAAGGCAGAGTCCTGGGCTCCGCTGTGAGGCCTGCACTTGGCAGAGCACTGGGCGCTAGACAGGGCTCAGTAAACAGCTGAGGACACAGTCGGCGAGGCTGACAGGCGGCAGCAGCCTCTATGTGGCCCCTGAAGCCAGCACCAACAGCTGGGGCTGCAGCACGGAGGCCGCTCAGGACAGGGCAGCGCGGACACGCAGAGCCGCCCCCAGGACCCAGGCCCCCGGGTGACAGATGCCCCGTTCTGGACGTGTGCACATGGCTGAAACCACGGGATACACGCCAGGTGGGCGGGCCAGGGGGAGAGCAGCCACCTGCCGATGGGTCCACGGCAAAGACAGCCACCAGTCCCGGCCTCCGTGGCCCACTCCGGCCCTGCTGTGACCCTCTCACCTTGGCCATGGCCATGGCGCCCTTCTCGGTGAAGGTGTTGTCATTCAGGTTGATGACCCGCAGCAAGGGGTTGATGGCGAAGGCCTGGGCCAGGGCAGTGACGCCGGGGTGGTTGATTCCGTTCTGGGGCATGTGGACCTCCTCCAGAGTCCCAATGATCTGTGGGGGGGGCAGGAGGGAGAGCAGTGGGCCCTGAGGCCAGGGGCGGAGCCAGGGGACACCCTGCGGGCAGGAGGGCAGCACCACCCACCAAGCAAGAGAGGGGCTTGTCTGTAAACAGATGGCAAAGCACGCTTCGGCCTGACCGACCGCACCTGATCCTCTCCAGTCTCACAAGGGAGGCGTACTTGGGATTAGGACCGTCACCAGAGAGATGACTGGGATCAGAGGGGCTAAGTAACTTGTCCAGGGCCACACAGCTCTGAGCACTGGTGTCTGTCTGGCACCTCTGCACTGCGGGGACCCTGGGCTCTGGCCCACAGTCAGCCCAGGCCTGCTCTGTATAATGCAGAGCCACTTGGTCTTTCTTTCTGGGGGTCCTGCTGCCTCACTGACAGAGTACGAATGGCAGCCCATGTTCCGCACCCTTTTCTGGGGATGAGGGGGCTTCCTGAACCCAGCGAACCCCCTCACTCCAGCCTTCCCACACCTCCTTTTCTCTGCCTGGAACACTCTGTCTCCTGCTTTTGCCGGCATCTTCTTGACAGGCTGACTCCTCATGCTTTCAGTAGCTCTCATTTTAGATGCCTCCTCCCCTAGGAAGACTTCCTGGATTACCCTCCCCCAATCCCCTCCAGCACAACCCAACACTCTTCCTCTCTGCCCCCAGAGCACCTCATCCTTCCCCTCTCACGGTGTTCATCCCTCTGAAATGTCAGAGCTACCTTCCTGTCTGCATCCCAACAGCCCCCAAGATCTCAAGGAGAGGCCAATGTCCCAGTCTCCATCACCACCCTGGAGGGACTGAGGACAGGCCTGGCCTAACTCTGTACCCAGGCACCTTATTGTCTCTGGGCGCCCAGCACAGCGTGGGGGTTCACAAACGAACACAGGCAGCCCAACTGAGGCACATTTCAAGTCAGGGCTCTTAATGTTTTCTGTGACACAGACCACCGGGCAATCTGGTAAAACCCCAGGGCTCCCCCTCTGGATGTTTTTAAATTTTAAGCTAAATTATACAGAATAACAAATCAATTCAACTGAAAGACAAGTATCAAAATGTTTAGAAAACTGCTTAAATGTTTGCTGTAGTCATACATATACCTCTTAGGCCAACAAATAATAAGACCTTGGTGTACCATTAACCTTAATGTATGAGAAACAAATACTTCTGTCTATTCACAACAGCTATCATTTGACGTGAAAATACCTGTGATTTTTCCTGGTAACAAAGCCACAGAAATTTCTAAAGCTGAGGTTTACTGTCCACATTCACCATAGAAGGTAAATGCTGCATTTCATTAGCTCTGGTAGTGAAAACAATCATGCAATATCCCGCACCCCCCGGCCACGTTCAAAGCCTCCCTGAACTCTATCCACAGACCAGTGGGATCCCACAGCGTGCATGCTTGGTCGTGTCCAACTCTATGCAACGCCATGAACCATAGCCACCAGGCTCCTCTGTCCATGGAATTTTTCAGGCAAGAATATTGGTGCAGGTTGCCATTTCCCACTCAAGGGGATCTTCCTGACCCAGGGATCGAACGCAGTCTCCTGTGTCTCCTGATTAGTAGGCAGACTCTTTACCACTGAACCACCTGGGAAGTCCACGGACCCGAGTTAAGACACCCTGCCCCGAAGGACCCCTGAGAGCACCCCCTCCAGCTGCAGCTCCTGCCCTCCTCCCCGGCTCATGGGCAGTTTGGTGGGCTCCATCCCAGCGCCCTGCTCACTGGGGCCAGGGGCTGCGACCCTACAAGCCAGGGTCGGCACTCACGCTGCTCGGGCACCTCCCCTCGTTTCCCAGCCTGGTGGGTCACAAACAGCACTGACAACTCACCCCCAGGAGGCAGATCACGCCACCTTTCAGACCCGAGTGATGGGGATCCTGTCCCAAGAGGATGAGCTAGCAGCCTTGGAGAGGGAGGCAAGCTGCCCGAGGTCTCTTGGCCAAGTTCTAGAGTCAGCCTGCCACACTCAGCCGGCCCCAGGGCAGGCAGGGCAAAAACCACTCACCCCAAAAGCTTCTGCCAAGGCGGTGGCTCCGTCATTCTCCAGACGATTTCTGCCAGCCACGAAGACCTTCAGTGCCAGCGGCTTGCCTTGGGCACTAGACTTCCGATGACACTCGGTCAGAGCTGCTGCCAGGATCTAGGGGAGGCAGGAGGCCCTGGTCGTCAACATGCTGCACCGGCCATGGCCCAGGTGGACACGGGCCGAGAGCCGCTCAGCACCTTGCAGGAACGTGGGCTTTGACATCTACCTCTGTGTCCGCCTGTCCCGTCAGCCTGTGGGGCTTAGCCCCACGGTAGGGACAGGGAGAGGGAGGCACCAACACCGAGTGACGTGGGCCAGGGGCTTCATGGTAGGCCCCCTTAGTGTCAGGACCCTCTGTCAGGTGGGCACCATCATGACTCCCATGCTCCGGCTGAAGAAACTCGGGCTTAGAAAGTGACAGAAGCTTTCCTACAGACACCATGCAAGCGGCACACCCTGGACAGAACCCGAACCTTCTGGCATCTCCTCCACGCTCCACAAGGCCTCAGGGGAGCCAGCCAAGGAGGGCAGGGCTCCCCCCACCATGACCCATCTGACACCTGCCCAGGCTCCAACCAGCCACACAGCGGGGGCTCAGCTGCTGGGGGTAAAAACCTAAAACCTGGTTTGCCCTGACCCTGGGGTGGTGCCAGGAGGTGACCTCTATCTAGTGACACCAACAGAGCAAGAGGTTACAAATACTGGTCGGCTGGTGGGTTGGAAATGGAGACCCCGCAGTACAGAAGATGTAAATGGTTCTCGGGCAGTGCAGCAGGAGAGACATTTACACGCATCTGCTAGGCCCTGAGCACTCCTGGCCAAGGCACTTTCACACCTTGTTCAACCTCAAAACCAGGCCGGGAGGCAGAAGGTATTAGTCTTGCTCTACAACGAGGCAGCTGGGTCAGCGTGGCTGCACACAGCTCTACTCTGGGGCACATACAGGACCCAGGACACCGCTAGCCTAACCCCACAATGGCAGGGGTCAGGCATGTGCTCAGGGCAGAGACCACCGACTTCTGCTGTAGGCCAGCCTGAGGGATCTGCAGAGGTGGCTCTACTCCAGGTTGGGCTGGACTGGTCTCTTGTGCTGAGGTAAACACTGTCGTCTTAACACACAGCTTACTGACCCTAGACCGGAGGCGTGCTGCTCAGACGGCCCAGCGTGAGCCGCTCGCCCTTCCATAGGGCAGGAGGAGACAGGCCATGTGCAGGGCAGGCCACCGCGGCTCCTCAGCCTGGGCCACCTTGAGCATACACTGGCACCTCCTGCTGCTCCGACCGGCCACGGGGATGCCGGTTCAAATCCCACATCCATCCCACACTAGCTACGTTATCTGAGGCGCATGACTCAAGAGCTCTAAGCTCAAGTGCCGTTCTCTGAAAAGGCAGGGACAGTGTCACCCACCTTTCAGTAAGGCGGGGGGAATTAAGATGACATGTCTCCAAAGAGAAGACGTCCCTGTTCGCTGTCAGTTCCTACACCCTGGCCCTTTGCTCCTTTTGGTCAAACCGTGAGGGAAAGAGCATGGGAATGCAGACTGGCGCTTGGCCTTTCTAGAAGCTGGGCCAGAAGCAGCCAGAATTGGCCAAGAAGAGAATAATCAGGGCTGCCCTCTCCTAGCCCGTCTGCCCTGACCCACCTGATTGCTGGCAGGACAGGGGAGGCACCCTGGGCAAGGCCCTGACCAGGGACAAAGGTGAGCTGTGCCCGGGCCTCCCTGAGTGGTCCCTCTCTCTGGGTTCCCTCCCCCACGTGCACATGCCAGGCCTCACGTGGCTCTGGCAGCTGTTCCGAGGGCACAGCGCGTCTGGTGATGCCCAAACCCTGTGCTCTGCAGAGCCAGCAGGTTGGAGCACGTCTGCAATACTGCCTGTGGGTTGCCAAGGCAACACAGAACGGAGGATGGTTGCTTGGCAACCCCACCCTCACAGATCCATCTCCTCTCCCCACTGGCCATAGGCTGCTGCCTTTGAGGCCTTTGTCCTTTGAAGAGAAAAACAAGAGGCGAATCATATCAGATGGTGCGTGGCCAAGGGCACATACTCCAGGCGGACGCAGATGTAGCAGGGGATGGGGCAGGCAGGAAGGCGGAGGACACAGGGATGTGGGGAGGGAGTGGCCGCACCCACCTTGCCACCACCGATGCCCATGCCACAGTTGTTGAGCTTGAGTTCGTGCAGCGTGAAGCAGGCGGAACTCTTGAGCAGGGCCTCAAAGCCTCGCACGCCGTCGGGCCCGAAGGCGTTGTCACTCAGGTCCAGCTCCACCAGCTGGGCCCCGGCCGTGATGAGTCCCTCCCCGAGAGAGATCTGGGCACAGAGGAGCTTGTGTCAGTTTCAGAGACAGGGACCAGGCGCTACTTCTGTGCCAGGCCCTCCCTGCCCTCGGGGGGCATTAGGCAGTTGGGGACCCGGCAGACACAGGCCATTTCAGTACAGAGCTGACCATGTTACATCGAACTGAAAACCCTGCAGAGGACTCTTAATTCAGCTGCAGCCTGGGGCTTAGTATGGTCATCCAGGAAAGCTTCCTCCAGGAGGCTGCATCTGAACTCAGTCTGGATGAGCAGCAGCCAATCATGGAACATGAGGAGATTCCAGCCAGTAGTAAACCCACAAGCAGAGGGACACAGCACGAAGCAGCAAGCTGTGTGCCTGGGGACAAGCCTCCAGGAGAGGCAGGGGTCAACTCAGGCAGGAGCCAGGCCAAGAACTGTGAACTTGGGCCTGAGCTCAATGGGCTTGGAGGAGCATGAGGGGTACAGAAGACACAGCCCCAAACCTGAGGAGGGCAGACGGACAGGTGGAAGCAGGCTGGAGGCTGAGTCCCACCCGGGATGTGAGACAGGGTTCCAGGCAACAGAAGGGGCTGCGGGGGCCAGTGTGATGAGAGGTGTTGGAGGGGAGACCGAGTCTCGGCGGGGTTCTCACAGAGGGAGGGGGGACCTGCAGAGACTGGGGTTTACTGGACGGGGAGGGAAGGAGGTACCACTGATGCCCCAGTGTTTCCGGCAGTGACTGAGCACCTAGGGTGGGTGCCCAATTTCCTGCCTCAGTCCAGGACCTGATGTGGCCAGAAGGTGCTGAAGGCTCCCAGGAACCTACCAGGCTGGGACACCTAAGTTGCCCAGGACAGTGGGCAGGGAGAGGCGGCTCTGCCAGGGCTGGGCATGGAGGGGGCAGGGGTTCAAGGTGAGAGGCGTGACGAAGACACTGCCCTTGACCCGGCAATGGACAGGGCAGCTGAGGCAGTTTCCATGACCCCCAATCCCAGATTAACAAGGGCCATTCTCTGGTTCCCCCACCTGCTGAAGAAAGCCCAGCCCCAGTGATCGGGCCACAGCTGACCTCAGCCCTTAAGCAGTCAGAGGCTCAAGCCCTCCCTCTACGCCACTCCACCCTCCCTGCATTTCACGCCATTCCCTGACCCCGAATTCGTATTCCTGTTTCTAAGGCTTGCTCTCACGGTAAGTTTAGTATGGAGATCATACCTCCTGCAGAACTTGAGAAGATTAAATGCTAAAATGTAGGTAAAACAACAGCACAGAGGCCCACAGCTAGGATCTCTAAGTCAGTCTCCAATTTTTTCCAACTTGAAATCCTTTTACACACATTTATATCAAATCACTTAACTTGCACTTTGAATCCTAGCTGCACCTGGCTCTTGTCCACCCTCTGGGGCTGGTATCCAGCTTGAGCAACTCTGCTGGGGCTCCATCAACCTCCCACCCAGGGAGCCCCCCCTTCAGCATCCCCATGGGGTCACTTGTCCCATCCTGGATGACCCTTAACTGTCTGCTGGCCAGAGGTGCTTTAGAGACGAGGCTAGTGCCAGCATCTCAGGAGGGCCAAAGCTGGCTGATCGGAGGCCTGAGAAGATAGCACCAGCACAACACAGACCAGGAACCTTGCATGGCCCGTGCTGGGAGGCTTCCAGCCCCGCCCCCTCCCCTTGAGCCCCAGGCAAGCCACATTGGGTCCTGTGACCCTCCAACGCCTCCCACACACGTGCACAGGCTGGGAGCTCCACCCAAACCAAGCTGAGCCCCAGGAATGGGGAAATGGAAAACAGGCAGAGAGAAGCCACCCAAGACGAGAACCAAAGCAGAAAGAATGGTATCAGAGAAAAGAGAGGGGCCGGAGGAAGACAGGGCAACCTGTGTGCAGAGTGAAGTCGAGAGGGACCTCAGGACGCAGAGGAGGAGGGGCTGGGATGAGGGGGTAATCATCTGGGAAGGAGACCCACGCTGCTTGTGAGCGAAAACTCTGCGCTCAGGTCTCTGCTGTACTTCCTGTCACTGGGCTGCCTAGTCTCCCAGGGCCCTCTGAGTCCTCACTTCTGGCTCCCTATCACCACCTGCTTGTCAGGACACAGACAGAGACTGTGCTCGCCTGGCTTCCACAGCAGCATCTCGGCCATCCCCAGGGCACTCTCAGTCTCCACAAAGAGGAGGCTGTGGGGGAAAGTCCTGGGAGGTGCTAAAGGGGTCCCTGCGGCCCGGGGCACAGGCAGAGGCTGCCTTCACTCACCAGGGCGGGAGGGATCTCCGACCGCAGCCTCCCCGTGAACATGTCGCTCCAGTGGCATCGCTTTGGAAGAAGAAGAGAGTTAGCGGAAACCCTCGGAGGTGGCCTTCAGGCAGCCCTCACCCCCATGGGCCAGGGACCAGCTCTGATGGACGCTGACAGGACCTGGAGGCCCCAGAGGAAAGGACCGTGGGGATCAGCAGCAGTGTCAGGAAAACCCTCCACCTGTCCAACCCTCTGTTTCTCAGAGAAAAAAATAATCAGGCTGAGAGGGAAGGAGGCGACTGGCCCCAGGCCCCCCGGCAAGGCAGTGGAAGGACCAGGACCAAGACACCAATTTTCCCCCATGGTGTGGGCCATAGTGACACGGGACGTGATCTTGGAGTGGAGGAATGGAAAGGAGACAATATAGAACCCAGCAGTGAAGAAGCTACTGTCTTTTCAAGTCTCTTTTCAACCCTCCTAACCACCTCCAGAAGACAGGTTTGGTTTGGGGTTGGTGGGTCTTACCCACGCCCCCACTTCCAGCTCATCTGCCTTTTCAACAAAGGGAGAGAAGGCCTCAGGTTCAGACCCTTTAGATGACAGCAACCTTGAACTAGAATTTACTAACACTCTGATTTCCTTTACAGTAAGGGATGTGATTTTCCAGTTAGAGAAGAGATCATATTTGCTTTTAAATTACTTCCAAGTGAGCCGATTTAAAGGCAATACCAGGTAAATATCACAAAAGCAGTGGCCACGTGGCTGGGTCACGTACCATGCTGGGGAGCAGAACTGAGCCTCCAGGCACACAGCCCCACCCCTAACGCTGGGTCTGTGTCCGCCTAAAATATCACCTCTGGCAGCTCTGGCCTTTCCTGGCCAACCCTCGGAAAAACGGACACAGGAGAAGCAACTCTCCCTGAAACCCAGACCTCAACACGTATGAACTAGACCTAACCTTAAGTACTAGAGAAGTCGGTGTTGGCAGAAGAACTTTCACATCCTCCAATAAAGCAAATCACTAACAACCCTGCAGACATTCTACACGGGTCGGCTGGGGAAGTTACATCTGTACGCAGGTGTGTGGGTTCAGAACTGGCAGCTCCAGCCTAAGCTCCTCCCTATAGACAGTGTTCTCATCTGGAAGCTTCTCCAGCCCAGCTCTGATGGGCTGAGGTCAGCGTGGGGCTCCAGGGCACGCGGTTTCCTTCTAGTTCTGGCTCAACTGACCCAGGCCTGCTACTCCCTGACTCTGACCCCCGGTGTCTTATCTCTGAAACAGGCTTTAGGCCTCACTCATCTCCACGCGGGCAGCACAGCAGTCGAGAGGCTGGGGTGCTGTCTGGGGTCCAAGTCTGGGCCACACTCTGCTCACCTGGCAAGACCTAACATGTGAGGTGCTGCAGGAGTGGAACTACCATCTTATCTTGCCTCAGTGCTGTGCCCACAAGGGCACCGGTATCATGGGCACCTCTGCCCTGGCCGCTGCTCCAACACCCCCAGCTCCTTCCTGCAGACAGGCTAGCTTGAGACACTGCGGTGGGGTGATTCAAGGCCCTGGGTCTGCACAGGGGAATGTGAAACAGGCCCTACTCCCGCAGCTCAAGTGCGCTCACTCCAGCCAGCCTGTGGTCACCACGGCAACCACCCAGGGAGGCAAAACTCTCTGCATCAAGGAGCCCAGACGCCATGTGAGGCCAGGCAGTGCAGCCAATGAGGTGGTGGCACTGGGGCTCCAACCCAGGCCCTCGGATGCCTAAGCTCAGCTGCTGCAGCCTCCAGGCCCAGGCACGTCTCCTCTCTCCCTGTCCTCCAGGGATCACCCGGGAGAGCCGAGTTCCTTCACAGGAAAATGTCCCGGCTCATGCGCAGGAAAAGGACAGCTCCGGGCAGGAAGCAGAAGCAGCCCTGCCTTGGCTGTCTGTTAACCTGACCGTGATCCTCCTGAGGACACGAACATCAGGGGCCCTCCGCTTCCTCTCACGGCCCTGGCCTCGTCCATCTTCCCTTTCAGAAAGCCCTCGGGGCCACGGAACGTGCGCTGGACTTGGAAATGTGAGCACAGCTCAGCCTCTGACCAGCAGCAGGATCTGGGGAGGCTGACTCAGCTGCCCTGAGCCTATTCCCTTGACTCACAAGACAGAGACACAGCTTTATGACAGCACTTCTCTCAGAGCATGCTGAAGGACCAACATTCAGAGGAACCCGCTCTGAGAAACACCAGAAGAATCTCTGGGTTGGCCGAGGAAGGGCACCGCTTGCATCTAACCTTCAAGAAAGGACCAGCCATTCGGCTGTGAGAAGGGCATCTAGAAGGCCCCCAGTGAGCAGCCTTCCAACCACCAGCACCTGAGCTGAGGTGTGGCTATTTCTTTCCCAAACACGCCTCCTCCGAGGGCAGTTTTTGCTCAGGAGCCGCGGGCTGGGCTGAGCACCTGTCAGAACAGCTCCCATATCTGCGTCACGAGCTGCAGCCTCTCTCTCCAGCTCTGCTCCTTCCTCACGCGTGACCCAGTAAACCTCTTACACTCCTGACACCTTCTCCGGGTCTGTGACCGCCGGCCTCGAGCAGACACATCACACGGGGAGAGGGGCCCCGGCCAGTGCTGTGCTCCGGGGAGCCCGGAGCAAGAGGGGCTGTCCAAGGTGATCCCCCGCAGGGCCCAGGAGGGACTGGACACAGGTACCTGCCGGGGGGGAGGGGTGGGGGCGCGTGTGAGCAGAGGCCTGTCTCCAGCCAGGCTGGGCCTGCTCGCCCCCAACCTCACCTTCAGCTCCGACTTCTTCTCCAAGGCCTTGGCGATGACCCTGGCTGCCTCCACGCCCACCGTGTTGCCCTCCAGGCGCAGGGCCTCTAAGCCGTCAAAGTCTTCAATCTCCTTAATCACGTCTTTGGCTGCCCAGGGACCAAAAAAATCAGAATCTTAAACTTCTGGAGTCATGAGCCACAGATGCAGGAGCTGAGGCCCAGTGAACACCTCGTCCCTCACGACTCCAAGGCTACAGTGCACCTCCTGGGTGCCAGGCTCCGGCTCACCAAGGGGACTCGGACAGACTCACAGTATAGCAGGGAATGTGGCTACTCGGACAGTTCCTCTGTAGTCGTTGGCAGTTAGTCACTCAGTCATGTCTGACTCTTTGCATCCCCATGGACTGTGGCCCACCAGGTTCCTCTGTCCATGGGATTCTCCAGGCAAGAATACTGGAGTGGGTAGCCACTCCCTTCTCCAGGGGATCTTCCTGACACAGGGATCAAACCTGGGTCTCCTGCATTGCAGGCAGATTCTTTACCATCTGAGCTACAATTCCTCTCTAATGAGTGTTAAGTAATGTATGAGAGACTTGGGAACCAGGAAGAGGAACTGGTTGGTGCAGGTAAAGAAGGTGCTCGGGGCACCTTGTGGGTGGTGCGGGGAGAACACTGGCGGGGCAGGGAGGCAGCACACACGCATCGAGGGTGAAGTGACTCAGGCTGGTGCGCGCATTAGCGTGCTGTTTCATTGTGATGAAAAATCCCATACACTCTAAATGCCAATCAACAGAGGGCAGGTTAATTCACTGGGGCGCATGATATAAAGAGTTACACTGATGTCACTATGAATGGCCACAGAGGTGTCTACCTGACTTGGAAAATAATCATCTTACAGTAATAAGTGAAAAATGAGGTTATCCAACGCTGTTTGGTCTGACCACTTTTAGAACGTTGTATGAATTCTCCTACACACACACACACACACACACACACACAAAGAGTTTTAAAAACCAGACGTTAAAGCAGTTATCACCAGGTGGTAGGATTCTGGCTAAATCTGTGTCTTCCCAGCATCTGTTCAATGTACTCTCAATGTGTCTGGTTAGAAAGCAGCTTTTTAAGTATCTGTAATTATGATCCCAATTACTTAAAAAAAAAAAAAAGAGGAACTCAACTATATGTTTTGGGAAAAAAACACAAAACTTGAAAAAAAAATGCATCAAAATTAACAGTAGTTACATCCCTGGGCTGTGTTATAATGAAGATAATGTTTTTTTTTTTCCCCCTTCTTTCAATGCTTCTGTATGCTACAATGAGCATGTATTAATTTTACAATCTGAAAAAATCACACAGGTTACATGAAAGACAAATCTAGTCTGGCTGGCACAGCACGGATCGGGGTAACATGGTGGGGAAGAGACGGAGAGGAGTGTGAGAGAGAAGAGGGGAACACGACCTTCTAGGCTACGACAACCACAGAAGGGTTGTCAGAAAGTCTGTGATGTGCCAGGACTTCCCTGGTGGTCCAGTGATTAAGAAACTCCCAATGCAGGGGGCCTGGGTTCAAACCCTGGTCGGGGAACTAGATCCCACAGGCCGCAAGAAGACCCAGTGCAGCCAAACAAACATTTTTAAAAGAGAAAGTTCATGCCCTGCAGCCTCTAAGGGGCTCCCTGAGAAGCTGTCAGAGCTGGGGGAGAGCTGGGGGTCTCCCCACGCACCTGTCTTCCTCCTCTTCCTCACAGCCCCCCAACAGCAGCACCTCCTCAGAAACCCTTGCTCCCTCCAACCAGGTCAGTTTTCTTTCGGCCCTGGCGTGCGGCATGCTGGATCTCCGCTGGGCGGGACTTAAGCCCTAGACCGCCAGGGAGGTCCCTGAACGGCTGCTTGATCATTATACAGAGACTTTGCTGATGCCAGCTTCCTCACTGGCTCACGAGTTTGTGAAGAAAGGGCCGTTCCTCTTCTCACTTTGCCACTGCTCACTGCCGCCACATCTCCTAAGGTCGTCACTGACAGGTCTGGTCTCCAGCTAAGTGACCTGAGGTAAGGAAGTGCCTGCGAAGGTCACACAACTAGACAGTAGTGACTAGCATTCACTTTATGACGAGAAAGGCTGGACAGATACGAGCCTCCCATTTCCTAGGAAGGTACACTGAGGCTTCAAAGAATGAAGCCACTCTGCCCAGGAGTTCAGGGAAAGCGGCAATGCTGAGCTTCAGGCTGGTTTTCCCAAGATGAACGTATGTGCTGCTCCTCAAAGCCTTGCTTCTGTGCACAACCGCGGACTTCACACAGGAGGGCCCCGGCAGAGAAACCCCCGAACCCTCTCCCCCCTTTGGAGCTGCAACTCCAGAGCGCCGGGTGTCCAGGCCTCTTCTGCAGCTGGCACTCAGGGCCAGGGCTGGCGGGGCCTCTCAGCCCTCTGGGAGACCTGCTCCAACAGGGCGTCTCCCTAACATCCAGGGAAAGGCCAGCTCATCAGGAGGGAAGATGGCTGCTCACGGGAATGCTTACACCGCCCTTAGAAGCGAGGCGACAGAGATGCCAGGGCCCCGGGGGAAGCCGTCTAAGTGACACAGGCACAGAGACCGGGAAGTACTGAGCTTGCTGCGAGCTTAGCCGGGGAGTCACAGAGTGAGCGTGTGAGGAAGGGCACCCAAATGCGAAGAGCAGGGACGGGAGAGGGTGGGGGCCACAGCCGGGCTGCCTCTCTCGCTTGACCGGCAACCCAAACATAGTTACTTTACGCAGAATTTAAACACAGGCCAGGGATGGGCCCCAACTGTCCCTGACTAACCACCAGCCGTCACCAGGCTGTGCGGAAGGGGTTTCCCTTCTCGGCCTCGACTGCCTCACAAAGGAACAAGTCCCAGGGGCTCTGCTACATAATGCAGCAAGGCCTTACTTTGGTCTTTACATGACTCAGTGAGCAGAGAAAAGGACCTAGTTCTCTGTTTTGTTTTCCACTTTTTGGGGCCGAGTTCTAATCAACAGCTTCATGGCCTTCCCTGGACCTCACCTGCTCACCCTCAGCCAAGACAGGCCCTTTCTGGGCTCACAATCAGACCACCAGGCCCCTCGATACAGCACTCAAGGGCCTCAGCTCAAGTCTCCTTCCGGGATTCTGACTTCTTTTCTCTCAAGACCACCCTGTGTGTCCCAGCTCCTGGGCCAACTCACATGGTTCTCCTGCCTGCAGTGCCCACTCTCCTTCAAGTATCTGCTCATCCTCGGGGATTTTTGGAGCCCTCCCAAGCCTCTCCCTAAGTGGAAAACAAGTGATCCCTTCCCCAACCTTACTTCCCAGAGCTCTTCCATGTCTCTGAGAGCGTGTTTCATCTCTCCTGTTGGCTGTCTGAGGACCTCATTCCTACTCCAGGTCAGGAGCTCCTCAGAGGTTTGGGCTCTAAGCTGCCCACCCCTGGTGACCGCCAAGATGGGAGGCGGCACATCCAGCCTGAGCCAATGAAGTGGTTGTGTGCGTGGATTTTAGGAGCAGACAACCCTGAATTTTCTTCCCAGCTCCACTGCTTAGAGCTGGGCCTTAGGAAAGTCCTATCACCTCCCTAGGCCTCAACTTCCCAATCTGCACAATGGGGTGAAACCTACCTCCAGACCTTTTGGGGGGGATAAACTGAGACACTCTTTGTATAGCACTGAAGACTAACTGACACAGTGTTAACAACCAGCATTTAATAACAAATTCACATTTACTGGGCTGGGCTGAATGTACACTGAGACGCACCAGACTAGGGACGCAGCTGGACCTCCCATGGAATCCTGGCTCTGCTATTCTGGGCTACACCACTGTGAAGTTACTGAAGACCAGTAAGTTACTGAAGGCTCCCGAGTCCTTTACTCCTCATTTATAAAATGGCAACATGTTTACCTCCCTTTCCCAGGGATGATGCAAGGATCAAAAGTAATAATGCACAGGGAGGAACTCTAAAGGTTAAGGCCCTCCAGGGACGTTAGGAATGTGCAAGGACTCAAGCGGTCTCTGACCTGGAGGATGGGAGCCAGCCTGCCTGTACACCAGGACAACCAGGCAAGTCCAGACCAGTTTCTCTGGTTGGGCTGGAACCTCAAGAGGCCCCGATGCAGGCGCCTTCACTTCCAGGTGCCCGGGATTCGGGGTGGATCCGTGCCAGCCATGCTCTCGCCACGGAAGCAAAGACAGGGTCTGCATTCTGCTTCTAGTTCTGTCCAGTCCTGATGCCTGTTCAGACAGGCGCATCCATCCCTCCCCTCAGGGGCATTCACTGCGTGTATCAGACTCCCAAGAGGGCCCGGAGTCTCTTTTGTTTTTGGCCTGCGCTGCACAGCATGTGGGATCTTAGTTCCCTGACCAGGGATTGAACCTATGGCCCCTGCAGTGGAAGTACAGAGTCTTAACCACTGGACCGCCAGGGAAACCCCTGGACTGTCGTTTTCATGCAGCCTCACTGCTCTCGGGGGTGCAGTGCTCGGAACGTTCCCACTCTCGGGAAGGCAACAACTATTCCCAGACCAGCTCTGGATTGTGGGGTGAATGTGGGGGTGGATCTGAAGTAAGAAAGCAGGGTTGGATCCTGGGACTGCTGCTCACTGTGGTCACTGCCAACCATTCCCCCCAAGAGGTCCTTCCCACCTGCCGGCCTGAGCTGCCATTGGCAGGGATGCCCACCATGTGCTCATGGACAAAACATCATCAAGCCTCACTGGGCTAGGACAAGTGTGATCATGAAGCTAACCGGGCCTGACAAGTGGGACGAGGAGGTGCTCTCTCGCTTGCTCCCTGTCCCTCCGGGGCCAGTCCACACGAGGACTCACCATCGTCTGCAGTGTTGAGTTTGAGGCTCTTGCCCTTGAAACTCAGCTGTCCCCCGGCCACCTGGGTCTTGGCGAGCGTCTCTGCTAGTTTGGCAATATCTTCAGAGGCCATGGTGGCTGCGTTGGTGGGCTCCCCTGGAAATCTGCAGACTGAGGAGGTCAAAGTGCATTAAAAGAGAGGATCTCTGGGCATCTCCAGGTTGGGGAGGGCCGGGGTAGGACCATTTCAGCTGCCTGAGCCCACCTCCCAGGATAAGGAAATCCCAAGCGCTAAACCACTGGGAGAAATAAAAACAACACTGAGGAAGGGGGAGTTCTAAAAAGGCAAAGGTTTCAACCTCTACAGAGTTACCGTCTCACTACAAGCCCTCTTCTGCCCAACTGCCCCAGCTGGGGTACCAAGCAAAGCCATGTGAGTTGACCACTGGGCCCCTAGGGAATGGCAGTTGAGTTCTAGTCTGACGGCTATGAAGAGTCTCCCCAGAACACACACCTGCCTGATCATGTTGGGCGCTCTCTGTTTGAGGGTCCCATTCCTCAAACAGGACACGGATGGCTATGGGATCCAGGTTATCCATCCCAAAGAATGCCCCACTGCCCTCGCTGGCATGACTCTGGGGAAAGGGCACAGGGGTCAGCCCACTGCACAGCTGGTTTCAACCTTGGCCAGGAGACTGGGCAGCCCATGGCAGCCAGACCTCAGGGGTTCCTAGGAGACCAGAGGTCTCTACATCACAACCACCACCATCACAATAGACTGATGACAGAGTTGCTGAAAAAAAGGAGATTCTAGTCTGTAGTTCAGCAGACTGGCAGAAAGGACCACTACATTTCCTCAAAGAGGAATGTGTGACAGGAAGAACAAGGTTATTTAGTGTCTCAGACAGGAATAAGAAAAAAAATAAACAGGAAAAGGGGTAAGAAGCATTGCTGTTTTCCTTTTTTCTTGGCGGGGGATGGATTTAATCTAAAATAGAGTGGTGGTGGTTGTTCAGTTGCTTAGTCGTGTCCAACTGTTTGCAACCCTATGGACTGCAGCATGCCAGGGTTCCCTGTCCTTCACCATCTCCTGCAGCATGCTCAAACTCATGTCCATTGAGTCGGTGATGCCATCCAACCATCTTGTCCTCTGTCGTCCCCTTCTCCTGCCTTCAATATTTCCCAGCATCAGGGTCTTTTCCAAGGAGTCAGTTCTTCACATCAGGTGGCCAAAGTACTGGGGCTTCAGCTTCAGCCCTTCCAATGAATATTCAGGACTGGTTTCCTTTAGGATTGACTGGTTTGATCTCCTCGCAATCCAAGGGGACTCTTAAGAGTGTTAGAGAAGGTATTATCAAGAAAGAAACAAAGACTTGAAGGATACTGGGGACTGACCCACGCAGATATCTAGGGGAAGAACATTCTTGCAAAGGCTCTTGTGGGGGAAGAGGCGGGGGGGGGGCGGTCAGAGGAAGTGCAAGGAGGCCAGTGGGGCTGGAACACAGAGAGGGGAGGAGAAGAGGTAAGAGATAAAGAAAGAGAATTAACAAGAGGCCCCAGTCACAAAGGCCATTTTAAGAACTGAAGCTTTTACTCTGAATGACAAGGGGAGCCACTGGAGGGTTTCTAGCAGAAGAGGGACTGTGATGTGACGCATGTTCTGACAAGATCACTCTATCTGCTGCGTGAGGCAGGGAATCTCAAAGCTGCTTCAAGAATGAAGGAGGGGATGAAATTCAGCATGAAATAGCCTGACACCACAACCACCGCACTCCTTGTAATTCTGGTTTGGGACAATTTAAGGCTAGAAAAACGGTGGTGAGGCGTCCAGATGAAATAGGAACACAGAACTTCTCAGCTGGAAGAGAAGTCCAGTACGTACACACACACACCGCCCCCCCCCATCCTATCCACTATAAAGACTAGGCAACAAACACACCGTTCACTATAAAGTCTAGGTAACTGGACCACAGAGAGGTGAACTGATTAGTCCAAGGTCTGCAAAGGGCCCGCGGCGAAGCAAACACAAACATCTACTCTCCCTTCCGAGCAGGAGTCTGGCACATTTGCCTCCGTGCACATCCACCGCTCCTGCCCAGCGTCGGCAGTGACTCACGCGGGTCCCCGGGGCTGCGGCGGCACCAGCCCAGGTCCTCGGCGGGTGTGGGCCTCTTGGGAGGCGGCGGCGGGAGAGCGACGCGCGAGTTCGAGCCGAGAATGACAGGCGGGACCGCACCGGAGCCCCATCCGGGATCCCAGGCGAACGTGCACCGCCCTCGGATTGACACCGACGCGAACAGGGGACGCCGCTGCCGGCTGGGCGAGCCGGGTGGGCCTGACGCCCTCTCTTAAGCCTCAGTCTCCCCGCTTGGGAAAAGGGACAGCGCCCCTCCTGGCTTCCCAAACTCCCACCCGCTCGGCGGTCGAGGGTTACAGGGGATGAAGGCGGAGGGGGGCACGCAGAAAGCGCCACACCTTCCTCGTCCGGTTCCAGGGCCGCGCCACCCCCGCCTGCATCCCCAGGCAGGTGACAAGAAAAGGAAAGGGATCCCCGACCCTACCGTACACAGGCTGCGCCGCCGCGTGGGGCGACCGGAGTGCGCGCGTGCGTCCGGCGGGCGGGGACAGATTTAGGGTCCGGGTCAGGTCAGGTCAGGTCAGGTCGGGGTCGCCGCCTCCGGTCCGTAGCTCCAGATGCTCAGCCCCACCGGGAGACGTCCGTCAGCTTTGCCCAAGCGCTTCTCGCTGCTCGCACCTCCAACACCACCTGCTCCCCGTACGGCGGCGGATGATGGCGGAGGGAGGTGGATTTTGAAAGCCGGCAGTTTCTTTCCTTCGATTTGATTTGTCGGAGGCCCGGTCCGGCTTCCCCTGCCCCCGCGCGCGCGCGGCCTGTCGGGTATAGTGGTCCGCTTATCCTGCGCGGGGCGCGGCTGGACGCCGCAGAGTCGCGCCCGCGAACTACCATTCCCATAATGCTCGCGCGGCGTCCCAGGGCACCTCCGCTAGGTCCCTCTGTGCCCTCCCTTTTGCGGCTTCTGGCTCTTTCTCCCCGAGACCGCTGGGCGGTGTTGAGCCGCGAACTTCCAGGGCGACTACAATTCCCTAAATGCTTTGCGGCCGGGCCGGCTCCGCCCTTCCGGAAAGGTTCACGTTCACTTAACTTTATTGACAAAGGCTGGTGCTGACGGAGACTCGAAGCTGGATCTATTCCGCAAGCTAAGAGGTGTCTATTTCCTAAAGGGAAAACCTCGCTTTTTTTTTTTGTCCCATGAAATTGGAAGGACATTCGAGGACTTTCCCCAAAATAGCCACAAATTCCTTGGTAATTAAAAGGAGGGGGCGAATAGTAACTCTGTAGCAAAGAAACTATGCTACACCACCCTTAACCACATTAACGTTCACGTTAACGTCGATAATAAGACGCTGACATTCATCGCACACCTCCCGCAGTGCTGTGCTGAGAAGGACACAGCATCACCATCCAGTCCCCGCAACGCGTAAAATTGATCTGATCGTGAGGAACCATCGGACGTACCCAACTAAGGAACACGTTACGGAATAACGTGTCTGTACACTTCCAAAAATGTCTGTGTCGTGAAAGACAGAAAAGCTGAGGAGCTGTTGCAGATTAAACGTGACTAAAAAGACACGATAATTAAATGCCTACGTGGTCCTGGATTGGATCTTGGGGTACAGAGAATTACTCTAAAGGGCAATATTGAGACAGAAAAATTTGTATGTTAGATAATATTGTAAAAAAAAAAAATAGCATCGTTTCCATGTTAAACCTGTTGTTTCTTTTAAATTGTACCTGATTATGTAAGAAACTGCCCTTGTTCTTGGGAAATATATGCTGAAATAATTACAGGCATGATGTTTGCAACCTACTCTGGAATGGCGCAAAAAATGTATGCATTCGTATGTAGCGAGAGGGAGTGCAAGTATAGCAAAATGTTAACAAGTGAATCTGGGTGAAGGGTCTGTGGGATTTCTTTCAACATTTTTAATACTTTTCTCTAGGTTTGAATTTTTTAAGTAACAGAACACAAGTAGCTTTTTTTCTTTTCACAAAGAACTTTTTAACCATTATATAAATAAGGTGTTCATTATAAACACTTTAACCAACATCTAACAGGATAGTAACAGAAAAGTAAACATTACCCAAGAAACTCTAGTTCCCAGAGATCAGCACTGTCAACACAAGCAGACTTCTTTTCCAAAGTTACCTCTCACAACTCAGCCCACACACCCACTTATGCTTTTGCTTTACCTGCAATTCAGAGTTAAATGTAGTATGTGCCAGATTCTTCCACATACAACTAAATTAATCTTTACAACCACAAAGGAAAAGGGCATCATTGCTACCCTTCCCAGCAGAGGTGAGAAAAGAGAAGCTCCAGACTCTAGTCCGCACTACTAAGTTGTGGATCCTCTCCATTCTCCCTTTCCTCTTCTGCCTGCAAAGCCCATATTAAATGCCACCTCCTCCAAGAGGCTTTCCTTGCCCTGGTGACTCCAACCTGAATGAGTCAGCTTCCTGTGGGCCGCCCAGTAAGCTTCAGACCCCTCACAGCAGCGGGTCTGAGAGCTTTTTCACAGAGTTAACATTCTACTTGGCAGCTTCCTCCTTCACCTGAAGAGCCTCCAGAAAGGTACTGTTTCTAGCTGGGCAGCATTCTCTGGGGTCCTGGCCTGTCATAGGTACCTCAGCTCAGTCGTGTCCAACTCTTTGCCACCCCATGAACCGCAGCACGCCAGGCCTCCCTATCCATCACCAACTCCTGAAGTTTACCCAAACTCATATCCATTAAGTCGGTGATGCCATCCAACCATCTCATCCTCTGTCATCCCCTTCTCTTCCTGCCCTCAATCTTTCCCAGCATCAGGGTCTTTTCCAATGAGTCAGCTCTTCATATCAGGTGGCCAAAGTATTGGAGTTTCAGCTTCAGCATCAGTCCTTCCAATGAACACCCAGGACTGATGTCCTTTAGGATGGACTAGTTGGATCTCCTTGCAGTCCAAGAGACTCTCAAGAGTCTTCCCCAACACCACAGTTCAAAAGCATCAGTTCTTCTGCACTCAGCTTTCTTTATAGCCCAACTCTCACATCCATACATGACCACTGGAAAA